GTTCCAGATTTAGCCAATTCCGCGGACCCTTATTGAATACTGCAAACATGCTCAACACTTCTTAAATCGTCTTGAAAAACTTCAAACACACTAATACTATTATTATAGACCCTAATTATGCTAAACCAATACTCAAGTAATAATTTCAAGAAATCACCAATTAGGCCTACATGCTGTTTTTTTTTCTTTAAACAGAAACGTACTAAAACTAAGTAATCATTGTGTTCCGACTCAAAATAAAAAATTTATAAATTTAGGCCTATTAACGACCTACAACAGCCGAGAGTGTCCTGTACTTTTATGAATGAGGTTTAACTGTTAACTAGTGTACCTGTTGCTCGAATTCGAGCAATTTTTAAGTATTACAGGCATTATTTTAAAACGAAAACAGTCATAATTTCTGATGACTTTAAAATATTTGACTCAAAGATTATGAAAATACTCAAGATGTATATAACAGATCGATATAATCAACATTTAATGTAAATAGTGTTTTCTACAAATAGCCTTACTCATAACCGCAATAGGTTTTCAGACACGTGTCCAAAAGCCTAACAGCTCGACTCCCTTCCCCATACCGCCCTGAGCGATAGGGATCATTGAGATTCGCTCTAACTTTTCCTCCCCCCTTCATGGGCAAGTTTTCATTCCTTTTCTTTCTTAGTTTTTGTTTGTTTCTTTTTGTAAATTTTAGTCTGTATGTATCCCTGGTTTTCCTTAGCTACTTTTCTAAACGTCTCAATTGTTTCCTTGTAACTCAACATGTTTTATTTTCTCATCTCTAGACCTATCTTATCCAAGCCTTATTCCTGTTCTCTCCTATTTGTCTCCTGAAGTGAACAATTTATAAATACGTGACTCTTGGTTTTTATTTCTTCACATCTACACACTTCCTCTTTCACCATGTGAAATCTTCACAAATTCGCCTTGAAATTTTCCATGTCCTGTGACAAACTGCGTTTCATAATGGCCCATCTCCCAATCTTGTTCCAGTCTCTTTCTGATGTTAGGTATATATACAAACGTTTACCTTTAAAAAGTTAACATAAAACACTGCTCCCAACGCATTTGCCACTCATCTAATATCTCCTCTCTTCTGTTTCCGATGTAGTCATACCCGCCTCCTTGTCTTCCGAAATCAACAGCTTATGCAGCGATTATCCAACAGTCCTAAATTGAATGTGAAATCTTCAGGCGGCTGTTTGAGAGCACACTTAAATCACACACGGAAGGGTGCTTGCTGTATTCGGCTATCAACGATGATGATAATAGTATTATTTGTATTTTGTTCTCGTCTACCAGTTAAAATTTTGTCGGCCCCCTCCTATTGGCCGTCCTGGTCAACGTCTTATAGTCTCCATTATGTCGAACGTATTTTTGGTTATGTTTTGATTTTGTGCAAAATTTTAGTATAACCAGCTGTATCATATATTAGTGTAAATTTGAAAGTATTCATCTGTTCAAATGTAAACAAACATTTTCTCCCTAAGAATAACATGGGAACTTTGAAGGCCACTGGGGCAGAGCCCTGATGGAATTCCAAAGTGTTTTTGTTTGATGGCAAAACTACATGCTAAGACCTTTCTAACGACACCTTGGACATGGTGATCGGTAGCACCACCACTCCAAAACAATTATGACAAAAAAATGCCTAGCGTATTAAATATGTAGATTTCTTCTAGGAAAAAGAATAAGTAGGCCCGACTTCATACTTTAACAGTTTCCAACAAACAAGGTCTTGTAAAGGAAGTTAATTAAATCCACAATGTATTAGAAATTTCATAATTTTTTTTATAAAAGTTAAAAATTGTACATGTTAAACATTATATCAATAATTATACAAATTCTAAAAACATTTTAAAAAAGGTACATTAAAAGAATACATGAAGGTTGAACATTTTTCAACATATTATAAATTTGTTGATGTATGATAAATATCACAGAAGTTTCATTTATATTTTACATCAAGTGTAAACTCTTATAACTACACGTACAGCTAATGTTTCAGTCTAAAACAATTCCCAACCATAAGGCACTCCTTTAATCTTTATTGACAATACAAATAATTAAGACGGCCCATCAAAATACGGCCTAACGTTGTCATTTCAATCAACTTGAAGAATAAATTACATTATGAGTATCTTAAATGGTAGAAAAAGGAGGATAGCAGCTAGCTTACCTTGAAAGAAGTGTGGGTAGGCCATAGAACAAGTAGAAAAATATTTTGCACACAATATTTCGTCCCCTAAGGGACTTTGTCAAGTGTAGAGAGAGTTTATGAGTTTATGACTGTTATGATAAACTCTCTCTACACTTGACAAAGTCCCTTAGGGGACGAAATATTGTGTGCAAAATATTTTTCTACTTGTTCTATGGCCTACCCACACTTCTTTCAAGGTAAGCTAGCTGCTATCCTCCTTTTTCTACCATTTAAAATCCTGGCCTAGAGCCTTTCCTTAAACAAAACTAACCAATTATGAGTATCTTGTTACTAATAGATAATTAGCTACACATAATTTCCATGTAACAAAATTATTTGTGCTAAAATTCTTAGTACTGGTAGTTGGATGTGGCTTTTTTAGGCGTAGAACAGATAATTTTTTACTTACAGGACAATACTTTTATGTAGGCCCATTATTATATCAACTTTATTAAATCATTTGCTCGATTTTCACTTATGCCTTATAAAACATAGCAAACTGGTTTCATCAAAAAAGAGAAACTAGCATTGTAAAAAAATGCAATATTACTGATAAGCTCAACAATTTCATAATACAATAAAATATTCCACATTAGGTAAAATAATCCTAAAAAATAGTACATAAATACATGTTCTCACTAATCCGGCATAATACTAGCTTAGCTTATGAGTATTTCCACGAGCACAAGACAAAAATACTGCTAAGCAGGTCGAGAAAACTGTGTTTTATCCTGCATGAATTTAAAAAAAAATCTCATTCCATCCCGAGTGATATTTTTGATGTATCATGTTAATTTTAATTAGGCTATTTGCAAAAATAATTCAATAAGTTAGTCAATAGATTAGTTTAGTAATGGAAAGCTAAAAAATTGATTACCAGGTTTAGGAGTCTAAAATAACGTTTAAATCTTACATATGGTTTAAAATCTCATTTTCGGGATGATAATCCGCCTCTGGTTTGACCAAATCGCTTGCTTGTATAAATTAAAACCACAGTCTTCAACTGGAAAGCATAACTTTTAACCCTTTGAGTGCCGCAGCGTCTCGTTCCGAGTTGCACCATTGTCGTAGCTTGAGTGTCGAGCGTCTCGTAACGAGACGGTCGAGGTTGCGCAAGAAATGCCGGTGTCTCGGAGCGAGACGCTCAGAAAATCACTTCATACAGTATCACATCTATACTTATTTAATACGCAAGCACGATTTTTGTGACAATTACTCCTCCGAAACTACTGAACCGATTGACGTGTTTTTGGTGTCATTGGAAAGAGCGTAACGTGAAGTTGTGCAGGAAACTTTCTTTTTAGGGAAATAATAAGAGAGTGAGGCCCTGAAGCCCTTTAAAGTTTCGTATTTCTCCATAAGATTAACATGGGAACCAAAATTGTTATGAAACTCCAGCTGTTGTCAGAAATTAAAAGCAAGAAGAAGAACAGAATGTTAATTGTAAAAAGTCAATAAGATTGCGAAATTTAACAGTTTGCTACAAACATTTACTGACTTGCTTGAAATAAAATATTTACTATTTCAATTTGGGTTGGCGTAAATATTACATTGGAAAAAAACGAGAGAGCCCAGATCATTTTATATACTAAAAAGAAAACTGAATTAACACTGTGCTGCATATCTTAGTAATCATTGAAAGAGCCGATTTGCAAACTATGGAAACATAGGAAAGTCATAGAACACACCCAAGGAGAAGAAATGAAAATAATGTTTTTTTTATAATCATAATTATGGACAACCTAATGCGGCTATGAGTAAGGCTATTTGTAGAAAACACTAAAAAACAAGATCAGCTTTTGAAAAATGATAAGATATTTACAAGAAATGTTGATTATATCGATCTGTTATGTACATCTTGAGTATTTCCATAATCTTTGAGTCGATTTTTTTAGAGTCATCAGAAATTATGACTGTTATTCGTTTTATAATAACGCCTGTAGTACTTAGCAATTGCTCGAATTCGAGCAACAGGGACACTAGTTTCAATAAAACTGGCTGCAAATCACACCAAATGTGACAGAAGGAGGTTGGCAACAACCATTTTGCTCTTTTTCTGTATAATGGAGCTGAGAAATGTGGTCAACCAATCAAAAACTATTACGCAATAGTAGACGGCTCTACACAGCTGGTTCGTGTGTTGTTGTTTCAACTGTTTACGTTCTAGTAAATGTTTGGTTATAGAATTGCAGGTTATGGTAATGAATTGTTGAAAAATAGATTTTAAACCATTAAAAAGTAATAATACCACAACTTATTCGTGCATTTTGGTGATAGTTTGTGGCTAAACACATAAAGTGTACCGGTAACTGTACTTGATAAGTCAGGCCTATAGGTGGATGATTTTATTTTGACTGTTTGTCTATTTTGTGCATGGCTTCTAATAGTATTCTATTAGTAATTTGAATTATAAACACAGTAATAACAACATAAAATACAGTCAAATGTAAAACAATATAGTTTTGTCTGTAACAATACAAGTCCTAAAGCATGATTAAAGTTGTTTGCTGGGTAGGGCATCAATTTTTCGAGACCTCTTTGTAGTAAATTTTACATATTTTTTGGACATATACAATAAATACATAATTGTTAGTTGTTGTTAGACATGATTTCTATTTAGTTTTTAATGCTCTTTAAAACTAATGTGAAATTGAATGACAATGAATAATATAAATTGTGTCATTTTAACTCAAACTTTGAAAACAAGAATAAACTGCACCATATTTCTGTCTTTTCCATGAAAATGTTTTATTTTAACTCATGAAACCCCAACTAAAATTAGTATTTTACAATGCACAATCTAATAATCTACAAAACAAAACAAATTTAAGCCAAAAATGTTATTAAATTTAAGTATTTTATGACGATTTTCCAAAAGACCTTTATTTATGTGGAAAAATGGTCGACATTCCTAGAAGCAACACCCCATGTAGGGCTGGCAAACATAAAATTGTTTCACCTGCTCGAGGCACTCAAAGGGTTATGCCCAAGTAAAATAGGCTTCTTTCACAAATTAGCCTTTAGGTTTAATCAATTGGTTATCCTTTTCTAGACCTCATATTTACTAAAAGATTCATTTTAATTTTCACTGAGAAAGATTTTATTTAATTGTTTAAAATGCTTAAATTAAAATTTTCAATCAAACCGACTCATTCACTATGCAACACAGAAAGACGGCGATCAATCAACTTGACAAGGGAATTATAGCTTGAGTGAGGTAAAGTAACAGTTCACTGAGTGATTAGCACCAAATAGTTGTCGGTAAAATATCAATTACTAATTGAGTCAAAAATGTGTAGTCTTGTTTCTAAAACAATTCCACACTTCATAAAAACCACAATCTATTCAGACATTCTTCCTAACAAAAATTTACTCATAGACAATTTCGGTTTAACACCAAAAAGGTCGAATAACTTCTACACACCCATGAAAGTCTTGTTTATCGTTAACCTGAAGTCTGACATTCTCCTCTGATATTGCCCGGATTAGTGAGCGATGACTGTACAACTATAAGTTACATTTAAAAAAAGAAAATAAATACTGATATATACAAGAGAGTAGGTAGGAACAGGTGGGACTTGGTCACAGCTTAGTCTCATGTTTACGTCGGTACAGCGGCTGAGCCAGTCGGATGGGGTGAGGCTGCGAGGCAGTGTGCGACGATTCAGAGTCATTGTCATCTCCAGAATCCACGTCACCTGCAGTATACAATAATTTATCTTAATTGCATCAAATTTTCCATTACAATTTGTAAAAAAAAAAACAGTTTTCTAAAATGTAGAAATTGATTTAGTCTTTTTCGTCCCTGGTAGAAAACCACAATCACAAAATATAAATTGCACAGAGATGAACTGCCTAGTAGCAAAAACCAGAAACAAAAAAAAAAACCTGACTGGAAACAACATTTAGTGCAAATAAATGGTAAGACAAACTCAACAGAAATTTCTGCACAAGATAATGGTTCAAGTAAGACAACAATTTAGACTAAATGCACTGCTAGTGATAAAGAAATTATTTTTTTGTTCGTTAATGTTCTTTAAGTAGAGCCTCATGGTTTAAACAATTTTGAATCAAAAAGGTTTCAAACTTATGAGGGTACATTATTTGCAGTGTAGCATTAAAATCAGTACGTTTGTCAAGTTCACACCGGACACATTAGCCTAGCACATTGTTATGAATCATATTAAGCTTACTTACTATTAAATATTAATTCAAATTTTTATTGTTTTTGATCAATGCCAAAGAACTGGTTTGGATCCTGATTATTTTAACCACGAGTCTATTTGGTCGAAGGATGTCTATTTTAATCAAAAACTTTTGTTCCCTCCTTCAAAACCACGAGTTACTTAAAGTTCACTGATGATTAATTTACAGTTGCTCCCTTAGATATTTGTCCAACCATACTCCATAATCTCTCAGTTTTCTTTAAGTTTTTGTTTTTACCCCTCTCCACCATCACTAAATGACTCCACTGGAAGTGCTTTCTAACAGTGTACTAGTTGAGTTTTATTACCAGTAAAAATTTCCCTGGCCACAGGAATAGCAAGTATTTTTCATCGTATTAAAACCAAACCAATGACACTCTCTTAATCTAAATATTCTTGCAAAACAGTTAAAAAATAAACCAAGAAGCATACTGACCATCACTAGAATTAGTGGAAGCTATGAAGTGCTCCGAGCGCAGAGCTTTGCGCGGTCGAGCGCGCCGGTAATACTTGAACTGTGTGGGTAGAGTATAAGAGCGAGGCAGCGACACCTGTATGGAAAAGTTTTAAAATAGTTTATATCTAGCATTACCATTCAGACTTTAACAGTGATGAATCCAAATTTTTTTTGTAGGGAATAAACTTTTGGCATGAAAGGAAAGTATTTGAGATATTGTGTTATCTGAAGGAAGTTGGATATGCCTGCAGCATCTCCTTCATGACTAAGATTAAATTATCAAGCTAGTTTCTCACTTTGATCTAACAGGGGCTTAGCTAATAGTTGTGTATAAAATAAACAGGTAAATTTTATAAGAAGTAATTAGTACTTCAGACAATAAATTTTGACTAAGTTCATACAAACAAAACAAAGAGACTGTGTTCCTAAATATTGTAAGTATTGGATATTTAAATAAATTGGGATTAGTATATATCTGGAAAGCAGTAAAATTAAAATAATTAGGCGTCAGAGCCTAAAATAACGTTTTAATGTTTAAACGTTACAGGCTTTTATTTGTGAACTAATTTATAAATCATTATTTTGCTTGGACGTAACGATAGGAGCTATTTTTCTAGTAGAAGACTTGTTGGTTTTATTTTACACAATCTCTAGGCAAGCCCTGATTAACATTTATCATACAAGCTAAAAACATTCTTAACAACTGTTACTGTTAGCTGAATGTTGAATGTTGAATTATGGAATTAATATTGTAAAGCATTTAAATTCTTCATAATATGAACTGTTGTTTTTAAATTTTGTGTTCAAGTGAATTAATAGTCCTTTTTTAGGCAGTAGGTTTGAAATATTTGAAATTTTTTTTTCTACTTGAACACTGGTTGTAAGTTCGCCTGTATGTATGTTTAATATGGACTACTATCGATTCAAAGTAAAAACCGTACAAAACCACAAGCTAACAAAGTTGACTATAGTCTAACCTGGGAGTCGAGATCAGAAGACACTCGATAAGTTTTGTACATCAGCACTAACATCTGCTGATTGCTATCCGTGTCCTCCGGGCAAAACCTACATAAATAAACATGAGTTAATTAATAACTTAGTTAAGGTCAGCTCCAGCTGATTAGCCTAAATCATTTTTAAGGGTCAAATAATCAACAACAACTAGTACTAGTTCTAGGTCAACAACTAGGTCTAGTTTTTATTCAAAATTTGATTCAAGCTTTCCTTAGAAATAAACTGGTGACCTTTACCTTTAGATCACCAAGTGAGCACCTAAATCAGCAATATACAGTATTATGAGCTATTTAACCTGAATTTTATGAATGTATGAAGGGTGAGTATAGAATGTAGTAAGATTATTAGCTTGGTTGCTGACTGATAAGATCAGCTACTTATCAGTCTGATCTTGCACTGTCAGTGACTTTAGGATATTGGATAACCATTGGATTCCTTACATTAATTTACCGTACCATTATGTTTTGCAGGTTAAAATGTATAATTATCTACAATAATTCCCAATTAGTGTAGGGTTGGGTTATGTATGTTTAGAACCAAAACATAAAATAAAACTTAAACTGCGTCATATAAAAATTGGTTGTGCCACAAACTGATTTCAAAGAAATATCAACACCTACCTGTAGATAGGGTCAGTATCGGCCGGTGTCCAAGCCTCGTAGCTGTCCAGGTAATGGGGGGCCAGTAGTATCTCCGGTGTGTTAGGGCGAGGTCGCGGAGGTTGCTTGTCTCTTGGCGGAGGTGGAGGCGGGGGTTCTGGACCTACACTGGTGGGGCTCGGGCCCAACTTGCCCTGCTTGATTTCCTCCTCTATTACTCGCAGTTCAGCCAGCTGCTTCTGCTTCTTCTCTTGTAGTTTCTGCTGAATGTTCACCCGGGAACCAACGCTACTGCCCTCGTTCTCACTCGACCCACCCTGGAATACATGTATCTGTTATACTGGAAATAATACAAATGACTACATATACCATCTTTTTTATTTTATAATGAATGTAAATATAACTGTAAGCAATCCTGACAAGAGGCAACAAACTTGTTCCAAGATTTAAATAAATCTATTCAGTATGTAAATAAGAGTTTTTGTGAGTATAGCAAGCTTCTGAATGGCATATTAGGCCTGAAGACAACTGTCTCATAAACTCATACCTTTCTTAGTTTAAAATGCTCTCACTGACATTGGAATATTCTGAATTTTGTGTATAGTCAAAAGTTAAGTGTTTCTTGTGCCAGATTAGAATCTTTCACATTCAGGTAAGCCTGCTATTATTGGTAAGAAAATTCCTGAAAACCTAGCTCTTGTACTTAAGGTTTCATATTTACAGTTGTATATAATAGCCAATTGAAATTATGAACACTGTATGAGAACATTCTGGTAGATTGGAATTGTTTTTACAGTAGACTATTCTTCATGTTCTTTGCCCACACCATCAACAACTATAATAGCTTATCTGAAAATTTGAGTAACCTTCCACTTACAAGTTACAACACACAGTAAAAACTGTAACCATGGCTCACAACTCGCTTTTAAATACTTAACTTAACAACAACATGGTGATGAATGTGAACGGAGTTTTCAATGTTATCATAACTAATTAAGTAAAAAATGCTGTCTAAATTAGTTTTTTTATAACTAAACTGGATGTGTGGTATTTACGCTATCTTGTTCTTATATTTGAGCAACTGACCTGATGGCTGTGTCTAGTAGGCAGTGGCCGGCACCAGAAGGGGATGGGATTGTGGTTCTCTCCCACAGAGGGTGGAGGAACGAATGACGTAGGCTTCTTCTTTTTACGCTTTGTCATGGCCGCTGTATAGGGGTTGGTAAATCTGCAGTTGAACACACCTGGGATCCCTCCATGGTGGTGGCCAGCACAATACCTTAAAAAAAAGATTTACTAATGCTCTTGGCTGAAGAACAGGAAAGACATGCCATCTATATGAACCAGCAGTGGCCAATAGTGATGGAAATGACAGCTACTTTTTGTTAACGTTACCAGACGTTCTGTGACAGGCCAGTAATAGATGACTTTTGTCACCTAATACCACCCCAAGTCACGGGCCCGCATGAAACAAACAGCAGCTAAAAGGTGACTGTAACTGCTTACAGAAGAAATAATGGAGTGATGCGGGAGCTCTTGACCTAGTCCATCATTGTCATTGTTTAGCACTGAATATCGCGAGCCTAGTTCCAGTCAATTCAATACTTCTTGTCACTTCATTTATGCAAGCAGTTACAGTCACCTTTTACCTGTTATTCGTTCCGTGCGAGCGTGTGATTTTATCTTCCGGGAGTTAGTGACCGTGGCTTAAGTTACTGGTTAAGGGAACGCAGGTGAACAGCTAAACAGCGATAGTGATAAGAACTCCTGCGTCACTATAACATATTGTCACTTCATTTATGTGAGCAGTTACACGGTTATTCGTTCCATGCAGGCATGTGATTTTTTCTGCTAGTGAATGCGAGTAAAGAAACATGGGTGACTTAGTTCCAAACAGAACGTTACAAAAATAATAGGGTATTAAAGGTAAACGGGGACGTTTCAGTAATATGGTGACTTATCATATAACATTAAATAACGACCATCGCTAGTCGCCAATTTAAATTCTAATATAACATTTTTGAAGTAGCCTCTCAAAGAGTAAGCTACTGTCAAATTTTACTCCTTAACTACCAAAACAAAGTAGGCTACCAAGGCTCCCGTTGCGGCAGACACCAGCCTCATGCTCTTTACTTCATCCAGTACTATTTTAGCTGGTTCCCAAACCTATGTGAATTATTACATTAGTCTCGTCAACTCATTATAGCTGCCAAAAACAATTTGAGGTAAAAATGACACTCCCTCCATAAGCGTGAATCACTCTCTGTGATAAAGTTTCTTTTTGAAGGGGGTCAACCCCTATTAATATATCTTTCCATTTGATGTCATATATGCAAAAAAGTGTTTAAACATAGAAAATATGCATGAGACAGATACCGTACACATTTATACAAGGAGGCCAGCAGCAAGTGTTTATGAGTTTCCACCGACAACTTAGTTTAAACCAACAGGATACACTGCTGTCCTTGAGAGTTTTAGAGACCTAACAGTTTGACAAACTTTGGTCACTCTGGACTGATTTGAGGACTTATTGGGCAGTCTAAGCTTGGTTCATTTTCAAAGTTTGTTTGTAACATGTTGTTACATGGTATGTTTAACTCACCTGTACTTGACGGCTGGTTGTGATGATTCTTCAACATTGGCTGGAACTGTCACACCGATGATGGTTCCGTTGTTGTTGTAAGCCCCACTGAAACTGTGTCTTCTGGCCAGCTCCTGTACAGTGTACAAGACAGTATTTATCATCAATTAAGCCTGCATTCTTCAATAATACATCCAAGTGATATTGTAACATGACAATTACTATATATTGTTTTAAGTTAACCGTATCATTATGTTTGACTATTACGATGGGGCGTTGTTACAACAGTTGTCCTTAAATTAGGTCTCCAACAGCTCCCGTCGTGGCAAAGAGCACTAGTTTAAATCTGTCAGCACTGCTTTTCATTCCGTACTATTCTAGCAGCTTCCCACCACTAGCTGATAGTGATGAAAGAAAAATTGACAAGCTTGCAAACTACGGACTGCATTCTGTGATTGGACTCCTGGGATGTTATATCTTACTAATCTGTTAGTCTGGACTTATTAATTATTTTGATGAATATTTTAAATATATTACAGGTGATGTAATGTTTAGAATTCTAAGAATGAGGAATGAATAAAAACTAGACTTTATTTTTAGTTTCATACAATTATGAGTTGTGATTATTTAATTCATTAAGTACATAACAATGTCGACTCAGAGGTGAAAATAAAGAGATTAGGCATTACTTACAAGCTTGAAGAGAACAGGACATTCTAAATGGATAATCAAGAAGTGACTGAACAAAACAAAGCAATATTGGAAACATTACAAGCCCAAACTGCTGCTCTTGCTCATTTAGTAAGACAACTTGCAAGTCCTAAACCAGAAAACAATGGAGAAAACAGTAAAGACACAACACCTATCTTAAATTCTTCAATATCCTTTGAATCTTTCGATGAAAAAGTGGAAACATTCAAATCTTAATTTATAAAGAGAGATTGGAAAATTTTTTGAACCGAAAAAGTTAGGTACATGTAGAGTAAAAAGAAATTAAGGAAACAAAAGCAAGAATATTGATAAATGCACTCAGTGCTTAAGTTATATCAAGTTTAACAGCACCTGATCTTCCATCTTCAAAAGACTATGAAACCTTGACTGATTTTCTGGAGAAACAACTCTGTCCACAGACAAATGTTCTCACAGAAAGACACAAATCTTTAACAAGGGAACAAGGTACTAATGAATCTACTTCTCAATACATTGCAGTTTTAAAACAGCTCTTCATATCTTCAAAATGGAATTGCCAAGAACAAAACTGTGGGAAACCAGTAAACAGCATTTTATTCGTGGACTTCATGACAGTGAAATTCAGGAACAGATTCTCCAGCAAGAAAACGACATCAGTTTTGAAAAAGCAGTTGAAATTTCACTAGCAATTAAAGCTGCTAAAATACAAAACAAGTTGATAGAGGTGTTACTAAAAGAAGAAAAGAATTACTAAATCCTATCCTCGTCGCCAATTTTATGTACTTAATGAATTAAATAATCACAACTCGTAATTATTGGTTGAAACTAAAAATAAAGTCTTGTTTTTATTCATTCCTCAATCTTAGAATTGTAGAATTTGTTGTGTTGTTGTATTGTGCATCAGCTGTATTATATTTAAAAAATAAATACATATAAATAATAAGTCCAGACTAACAGATATAGTAAGATATAACATGGGGCTATTTGGATACCTTAATTTACAAAAACCCCTTGTAATTGTTAAGATTTAACAATGTATCCTGCTAGTAAAATCGCAATGGTGTTTGTGTAAATGTGCTTACTTCATTTTTATTACAGAGAGAAAAGTATGTAGAATTTCAAAAGGTTTTATTTTGTTCAAAGGGTTTTATTAAGTGTGAATCTATTTTAACCTATTTATCTAATCTATCCATTATTAAAAAACACACTATCCTTCACATGTAGAGTTTACCTTTGTTCCATTGGCTGTTTCTTTCCTATTGGGAGCAAGTCGAGCAGTGGAGTTGTTACTAGAAAGTCGACCACCAGCTTCATAGTTCAATCTTCTTACATGGAAGTACCTAGACAGTAACAGTTTTATAAGTTATACTAGCTGTACCCGCGGGCTTTGCCCCGTTTAACTTCATAAGTGAGCTCGTTCGCATGGCTCAATCACGTCCTGGTTGAAGTTTGTTCGCTACGCTCACTCACCTTTTGGTTGCAAATTAGATATCTGTAGTCATAAATTTAAAAAAATAATAGTGCTGCACCCTGTTGGTAATCCTTGTAACTTTAATGCTATTGAACATCATAGAACAGAACCAACTTGTTTAATTGAAACAGCTGTTAAGATTCATTAATTCCATTTAAATATGAAAAATCATAAGGTTAACATGGGAAACTCCAGAGCCACTGGGGCGGAGCCCGAGAGTCTGATCAGAATAAAAACAACTTAGTTTTCCTATTTAATGCCTAAAGAATCAGTGTACCAAATTTCAGCTTCCTAGGTAAATGGGAAGTGGGAGAAATAGTGATGAGTGAGTGAGTCAGTCAGTGAGGGCTTTGCCTTTTATATATATAGATAGATTGTTTTTAACTAGTAGTACGCTTATTCTGCGTGTAGCGGGATGAGTGAACGTAAGCGCAACAATGGAAGAGTCCACCCGCACCTAGCCTAATTACCGGTGTCACTGGTGAACACAATGGTATTTGTATGGGCAAATCAACCGAATCTCAGTCAACAACAATCCTAACTTCTCGTCCATTAATTAACCAAAGTCATTGGTAATATACGTAATGGATTTCCAACAGTTATCTCAATAGGAGGTAAATCCATCGTTCCGGTACAAAACGTCTTTTGATTAAATGAAGCCTATTTCCTTATTTGTTATGAGGCCTATCATAAACAAAACTAAGCCAAACTGAACTAATATAACTTGACCTAATTGCCACATCAGGGTAATAAAGGAGTCTTCTTAAAAATAGTGTATGGCTTATAATTATGATAAATAACACATACTAACGATAGGGCTATTATATGACCTAAGATGATTAAAAATCCAATATATATATGTTTATCTAACTAATGAATCTAATTGCCATAAACGGTTCCCACACTCCGCACTGCTTACCTTTACCACTTCCATCGCCACTACGTACGTCGTGGACCTGTTTCCCTCCCTTCCCTCAGCATTTTAGTATTGCATGTACATTAATCTAACTGCCACAAACTGTTCCCACACTCAGAACTTCTCGCCTTTGCCACTTCCATCCCCCCTTTCCTAGGACATGGACCTTTTTTCCTCCCTTCCCATAACCTTTTAGTATTGCAGATGCATTAATCTATGACCAAAATATAGTCAAACCTAATACTACAAATAAATAGAGGACGGCAGGGTGACTATTACATTCTGGATCAAAAATTCATGGACGATTCCTACACATTTAAGAACACTTTGTCGTTACCTTTCTCGTTGTTGTTACCAAATATATATTCCTGATTTGTCGAGATGTATTAACCTTGTTCTTCATTGTTGTTGTACCAGAGGAAAAATAAATAAGTAGGCCTAATAATGGATAAGAGTTAAGTTTAAAAATAGAAATTATAAAATAGAAATTTTAAATGAAACTAACATTTACTTTGAGTAGGCTACGGCTTTATAGTGTAACAGAAACGCAATCATCGTCTCCCGCGATAGCGACAAAAAAACCTGAATATCTCAAATGGTCACAGAAACATTATCAGCATCTTTTGCAATCGCGGCAAAATCCTGAATATCCCAGGCGGTCGTGTGGTCATCGTCATCGTCTCCCGTGATCACGGGAATGTTATCATCATCATCCGAAATCACGGCAAAATCCTGCATGTCTTTATCGGTCATATTAACATTATCAACGTCTTCCGCGATCGAGAAAAATCCTAAATATCTTCCATGGTTGTGTAGACATCAGCATCGTCACCCAGGGTTATGAAAATGTCATCATTTCCTTCCGCGATCGCGGCAACATTCTGAACATCTCCCGTGGTCATGTAGATATCACCATTGTGTGCTTGATTACAGAAACGTTATTGACGTCATCTGTGTTCGCAGCGAAAGCGTGAAAGTGAATATATATACCGTGCGTACTCCCTAAACTATTTAAGGACAAACACAGGACATTTCTTGGCCAGCATAAAATTAAGTACAATTCCTGATTGGAAGACACCTTGTGACGGGTCCAAAAATTTTGGGAAATAATTTTGGGAAATATTTTTGAAAAAATATTCCCGACTATTGGAACGGGATTACATTAGATTCGGGATTTTCTCAGGGCGGAATTTGATCCAATCATTGGTCATTTTGCCATGTCGCAATGACGATGACGCTGTTTCCACGATCTCAGGAGCCGGTACGGCGGGTGACAATGACTATATCTCTGCTGTGGCGAGAGATGTTCACGATGGTTCCGCAAACTTAGGAGGCGATGACGATGTCCCCGTTATCGCCGGAGATGTTTAAGATGGCATCTCAAATGCGGTACATTCTGACGATCGCGTCGTGACAAGCGAAACATGATGGTGATGGTGTCGCAAACACAGGCCATGTTCATGTTGGCGCTGCAGAAGCGGGACACTTGACGACGGTGCTGAGAACGTGGTAGATACTTATAAAATGGCCCCGCGATAACAGATTAGTTATGATGGCGTTGTGTTAGGTGCACATTTCAAAATGTATGCTTATTAAAGCTAAACCGCTTTCCTACTGATAACCATCTCAGGCCTTAAAATTTTGGACAGTTTATAAAAATGCAGTGATAGTCTGTTTTGAAACCTGTTTGTTGGTATCTAGGGGTACCGTATTTCATAATGGGACTGAGTTTTCACTTTCAAAGTTAAATTGAACCAAATAAGTTGTTATTATATACCTACCTGTCTATATTTCCCGTTATTGGTTTTTGTGAATCAGTGACACAAAGACTGAAAATTGATTTTGTGTGCTATTTTTGACATCTGCATAATGTTTATCCAACATTTTTGAAACAAACCCTTTTTTGCTTATTTCCTATCACGCACAGGTCATTGTGACCCATGTGATATTTTTATTTGCTTCATGAAATGCTGCAAAATAATTTGTTGTAAATAAAGAATTTTCTCTCTCTCTCTCTTTTGCAAGGAGAAAAAATCCCATTCTCCTTATATAGTCACCATCCTGAACTAAAAATTCAATCTCATCCATCCCAAAAATTGATTGATTAGAGTTTTAGTATATTAGAACCTCTTTTGCCAGCCACCTTAGAACCAAGTATAGGCCGGATTGACCAACCAACTATAAAGTACAGCAATTTAACGTGTATAGTTTATTAATTCTGTTTAAAGATACCAAAATCTCTATCAAGGTAATTTCTTGAAAAACCCCACATAGGTGGTAGATTCACAAGATGCTACCGGTACCAAAGCTTGTTAAGCCTATCTGGACACAACATACTTGGCTGAATCAGAGCAGGATTGTACAATGTATGACATTAGATAGCCTACCTAAATATGATTTTTAATAGTATATTACGTTACTAGTCCTGAAAATAGGTTTTTAAAGGACGAGCAAGGTCGTTCGTATGGGATTACCATACGAGTCCGGTAAACACATTTTTTAAGAGTGACTTACGATACTTTACGCCATACTACTACATCGTTACAAATCCTTATATATTACCACTGACTAGAGGACTAACAATCACTAGTCATAACCTCTAAGAGAGGTTATGTTTTTGTCTATAACCACTCATTGCCAAATATGGTATAACCAGCTGTTTTCTGGACTAAATCCTTGCGTCCATTCGTCAAAATAGTCTAATACTAACCGGAAAAAATTGCCCACATGAGATCTGCTAAAATCAACTTCCCATTGTTAGCTGTTAATACATTGTATTTTTTGAGTTCCGAGAAGCGCAGAATTAAGGGAGGCCAGAAAATCTGTTGCCCAATATAAAAATTCCATTAAAAAAAACCCCAACAATCGACAGCATTTTTAGAACAATAACAGTGTTAGCTATTTGAACGAGAGAAAGACTTGTAAACTCACCTATAGTAGAGGGCTTGAAACAAGAGCCCGACAGCAAATAGTGATCCAACAAGAAGAGGGAGACTTTCAGAATACCAGGGTGGGTTACGAGATACACCAATCCTCCAAGCGACTAGCAGAAGGGCATTCTCCAGCCCCATCACAATATAAAATGTCAACTGTAATAAAATAATCATTTACTGAAAAATCACGGCAATTTATATTTAAAATAATGCTGAACAAGAAAAGTAAAGTGTATACTTGTTAAGTCTAACACAAATATTAAAAAATCCTAGGAAATAATAAATCAATGGGAGAAAGACAAAAATAGCTAAGAGAAGGGTAGTAAATCATCTATACAGCTACCTCCTGAGAAGTATTGGGAGGGCAGTGAGTTGAACACAAGCTTCTGTAGTAAGCTATCAATCGTTTGTAGTGACAAATTGTTTAAGCCTATATCCTATCCCCTATTCAGAAACTAAAATCTGTTTATACCCTCAAGAAGCACCTCCTCTGTTGTTTTCCAACAAACTACATGAACCAATTAAGAGCTCTAAAATAACAATTTGTTAATTAATACTAATACTAATACTTTCTGCATTTTGGTATGCCCAAATTCTGTGATAAAAAAAAATAGTAAAAGGTCTTTGTTCAACAAGTGTTTTTCAGATACCTACAATCCCGCTCTTCAAAACCACTCTTGACATTAATCTATTCAAACTAAAGTAGGTCCTACACTCCCGATTATCCGAGCCCTCGGGTTGTCCGACGTCGTTATTGGCCTAAATATATAAATAGATATACAGGGTGTCCCGTAACTCTCTGGACACATGTATAGTGTGAAAAAGTGGTCATGCATTTGGAAAAGAAGACATTTCTCTGTTATTATTTATCTATTTTTAACAAATAAGGTAGGCCTATCATTGAAAACAACATAAAATTTACTAACTTTTTTGTCTTCTGCAATTTTTTTGTTAAGTTAACGGTTTTCGTGAAATTTGGCATCAAATGTTTTAAAAGGCTGCCATTTTAAAACGGTTAATGATTTTTTTGTATAATCTTAAACAAAGATAAGCTCTAATAAGATTAACATTTCTGCAAAATCTCAACGCTGTATCTCAAACCGTTGAGGAGTTATTAATGTTTTTGGAAAAAACACATAAATGCCGACAGTCGGTAAGCTAGACACCACAGACCCATGTTCCTATGGTGAAATGTGTTTGTCTTGACCTAAGCAATAACGCTATATACATGTGTCCAGAGAGTTACGGGAGAGTTACGGGTATATCATTTTCATCACTCCGTAACAAAAGTAACTATTTTCGACAACAGCTGATATCAACGAAAGTAGTCGTTTCTCAAGCTCTAATTTAGGGCGAGGGAAAATGATGGTGATGTTTAAATATCACCTCCCACTTTGGTCAATTTCTTCACCATTTGAAAGTTATTTGCAAAACAGCTAAGCAACCTCTGAATTTAAGTGGTGATTCAGTTCAAATTCTAATAATCTAATTCAGTGATTTAAGTTCTAAATTCAGCATTAAACTCTTTACGTGCCATTATAAACTTGAACAACATTTAACACGAAAGCTATGGTATCTGTCTACGGAATACCCTACACCACAGAGAAGTACTGTAATAAAAATTACTTCTCCATCTCTATGCCTACACTGTCCCTATCCGAACCAAAGTAGGGATGCGTGTGGACAGTCTAGTCAAGTACTGGGCGAGTTGAACAAATCAACAACTGGGCTAGTAACTGACCTGCCTTACTCGACCCGTGTAAACCAGGCTTATGTGTACAAAATTACAGAAATATGGTTATGATAAACAATGATGTAATATAGCACAATCAACAGCCTACTGGTATGTACAGTACAACACTAGACAAACAGGTTTAAAATCTTCAAAGTATGTCAATCAAAGGCAGATTGCTGCCCAAACCATCCAAAGTCTGAACCAAATTGATCTGAATCGGAGGGTTTACTACTGTATAGGTTTGCACAGATCTTGTGCAATTCAAAGGCAGACAAATTTTGTAGTTTAGCCAATTAAGTGCGCACTGTACTGCATACACTTTGTCGTAGGCTTTATTGCCTCTTTAATGTCCTTAATCCACCCCTGAATACAAAGTGTGACTGGCAAAATTAATTTTGATACACGTTAACAATATAGGCCAAATGCTATTAATATGTGATCAAATCCATACTCACCATCTTCTGGCGGTGATTGACCTCTTGTAGATTTATATATGCAAAAACATAAACAAATGCAATCAGGGTTGAAAATGCCGCTTTTCGTTGTCTTGATATTCTTTCACCATGGAAAACATTTTTGGGTGATACCAGCCAAAGAAACATGGAGACCCAGTGGAGAACAATAACAAGGAACACCCATCGTCCATACACTGTGGCATAAACAGTCAGTGAGATCACCCGACACGACACTGTGCCTAGTCGCCACAGAAACTGAAAAAAAGAAAATAAGTTAAGCCTGTAACTTTGTTTTGCAAAGTTATTTAAGTAATGTTTTTAAGTTAAGCTACAATCTTATATATTAGAAAACTTTTTCAAAACTTATGACAGCTAGCCTGATCATACTGCTAGACCGAATTACACACGGGTTGTAACAAAAGAAAGGTTATCGGTCCTATATGTGCAGGCTTTATTTGTTTTTTGAAGTTAACTGGGTCAAAAATGGAAATCAAACTTTCCTTATGGAGATTTAACATGGGGCCAGATTTGTAAGCTTACGACACCCACCCTGACCGTACTACTGGACCGATTTACACACGGGTTGTGTACCTACACAAATTTTTCGGTCCTATATGTGCAGGTTTTATATTTGTATTTTGAGAATATTTATGTTAAGTTAATTGGGTGAAAAATAAAATTTCAACTATTCTAATTGAGATTTAACATGGGGCTAAAAATATTAATAGACAAGCATGTTTATTGAAACCCTTTTTTCTCAGCTCCTGTGTATCACTGGGAAAATCTACACATACCGTACTGTTAGAAATATATTTGCCTGTAGTTGTGCTGAATCCCTTTATTAATTAAAATAAGCTAATAAATAAGCACAAAAAATGAATTAACATGGGCCTTATGGGTCGCCATGTTGGTAACAAAATAACAACAAAATATAAACAGAAAATCAAAACAAATGGAAGAAATTCCAATCACATGTTTTATTTTACAGCTTGGGGTGAAAATAGAGAGGTTTGCACAATACATACTTTTGGTCAAGTTTTTGACCACAGGGCGAGCTCTAAATTAGTAGGTATAAAGTATACCTTTTACCCTTTACCTTTACCGGTTCTTCATCGTTGCCCAGCCATAGCTGGATAGATTGCGTTAAATGGAACGTTGCGTTATATTGGGTTTACTAAGGGAAAGTCAATCTTGCAATACTAGAAACAGGCTAAACGTTTCAATGCCTATTCACAAACTAGAGTTTTAATGAAATGAAATGCTTTATTTTCCATTAGGCATGAAATGCAATAGGCATCGTCAAAACAAATAGCAATATACAATTTTCATAGAAATGAAAACTAAAATGCAAAATCACACAGCAAACAAAACCAAAAGCAAACTTAAAAGAAAACAACATATGCTGGAGAAAAATTTTATAATAATTTACCAGACAACATTAAAAAAGAAGTTAGGCCTAGTATTATTAAGTTTAAAAAATTGCTAAAGAATTATTTAATTTCAAGACCACTGTATTCATTGGAAGAATTTTAGTATGTTTAGTTTTTAATGTAGCCTAGTGTTGTGAATATGAAAATATTTTTGACGCAATTCTATGTAGGCCTACTAATTTCATATAGGCCTACAATAATGAAATAAAGAATGTTTGAATTGAATTGAATATAAAATAAAAGTAATGTACTTTGACACATAGGCCTACATGAATTTCCATGCTTTAAAAATATAGTTTGGAAAAGTATCTAAGGTGGATTTTGAGCAGTAATTTGGCTTTTATACTTCATATCCTGTCAATCAAATTTACAGATGCACCATCAGCCCAAAAATTTAGAAATAAGGCAAAAACAAATAATACAATGTTGATAACTGTTAAATATATTCAAAAAATCTATCTTAAATCTATTTTATTATTGATCATTTGACTGGAATAATTTCATATTGTAAATAAGTTGAATTCAATGTTTACCTTATAAAGAAATAAAAAGAGTTTTGCTTATATATTTTGTATTACCGGTACCGGTAATTTATATTTAATCATAACTTACTCCCAAACTTTAGTCAGGTAACTTAAAGGCTACGGATAAGTTACCGAAAAAAATTACCCACAAAACATATATTTACAACACCTTTCCTACAACACCAGGCAGAGAAACATGCTGGATGTTCCCCGCGTTAGGCTTTCTAAGACAGCTGCTACATATCATATTCAGGGTCTAAAGTTCTTCAACAAACTGCCGATGGCCATTAGGTGCTGGAAAAGAGGTTATCTTAAGGACACGCTTATGTCGCTAATGAAAGAGAGAGCCTACTATAGCATCTCAGAGTTCATGACCGATAAGGAGATAGCAAACATATGGTAGGCCTAGCCATCTTTCCATCATCCCTGGAAGTTATTTTTAACTTGTATATATGTATAATTGTTTTATACCTTGAACTGTATTACATGTTATGAAGTACCGATATTTTTATTTTGTGCGTGTAAAAGAAATGTTGTTTTTTTTTTTTTTTTTTGACGAGACGCAATCCATCCCTATTTTGGGTAAAAGATGAAGAAGGAGTAAGTAAGTAAGTAAGTAAGTATATAAATTAAGTTAATAACTTATTGTCAGTGGCCTACCTGACTTAAGTTTAGGAGTAAGTTATCAACATTGTATTAACTTAGGCCTATTTGTTTTTGCCTTATATTTCTAAATTTTGTGGAAAAGTGTTTAGACCAATAATTATGATAAGTTACTTTGACACCGATCCTATTGAAGTGGTATTATCTGCAATGAAGATGGGTCAGAGTCAAGATATGACAGTTTCAATGGATCTCCAGCTTCAGAAACAACGGAACCAGTGGGCCAATTGCTGAAGAAGCTTTGAAAGCGATGTTGCAGTAAACTTAAATTAACATAGGCCTGTTGGTAATTTGGAAGGGTTGTTCGATTTACGATCCACCTACTACTGTGCACTAACTTTGTGGTAGAGAATAAGTTACACTAATTCTAACTAAATAGTACGATACCTACGTTAACCTGATTAAAAAACTTACTTGAAATATTACTCCCAGCCAAGTTAAAACAAGTCTATGGACATTTTGCATCCTTACGTTTTTGCTGAAGGACGCCAATGCCCAACACACACTGAACAAGGAAAGAGTCATTGATACAATGTTTAGATCAGTAAACTCTTTTGTTGCCGTTTCATGCCATAGCAAATAAACTTGTAACAATAACATAGGTGCTGCTTCACAAAATGCATGTAATAATCGGAGCATACAAAGATCTCTCACTTCATATTTCACAAATCTGAGGTCAACCGGGATGAACAGTTTAAAATAGCGCCACAATACACCAAATTGAATTATATGTAACATAATAACAGACCATCTTGCAAATTTCTTGATAGCCGATATGGGTTTAGTACCTTCACCTTCTGCAGACTTTTCTTTACTGCGTTCATGGCTTTCAACTGCATGTAAATACCACCTCAGTGAAACTATTTGGCTCACCACCAAAGAAATTAGCACAAATGTAATAATTACAGAAAACCATACATATCTTCCCTTTACAAATAATGCGTAACCCATGACAACATCAAAAACTATGTCACAAAAGTAGGAAGCGAGAGAAATAATATTAAATAAAACATCACATAGTGGCAAAAATTCGTACAGAGCCATATCCTACTTTTACAAGTGTTTTAAAAAAGTAAAAGTTATCACAGATCATTGTCATTTCTATGACACATAATAGCACTGATAGAACCACGAGAAATGTAAGTTTTTAATCAGTATTGTAGACACTTTAAAACTCTTTATAATCTAAAATATTTGCTCATAGTCTATTGTCTGATACTGAATCTAGTTCAACATCACAGCACAAGTCTTCAAAGGTTTTTCCTAGTTCTTATACTGAACACTATTGCAGTGTATGAATACTTGTTGAACGAATTAATCACATTGTGCACATCACAAGCAAACCCCATATTATGAAGAAAAGTTTAAACGAAACGCATTAAAAACAATGGTAAAATTTAACCAAACATTGTCATTTTGCACTTGCAGACGCTCAAGATGCATGAAATTGTGGTTGGCATGTGAAAGCTTCACATATTTTCCTGTAGAGCGCTCTGACATCTGCATACCAATAGATCAGATTACTACAAATTAGTCCAAAGGTATGCGATTAAACATGTACCATGATATCAAAATCATAATTTAGCATAGATATTTTTCTTCTCATCTGAGGAAGAACTTGAATTCTTTTATTAAAATTGAATACAGTTTTCATTGTATAAACCATAGCTGACAATTTAAGTGTCCTATTTTGCCACATTTATGATGGATTATATCAGCTTCCATAGCCTACAATTCTCATGAACAGTATTTAATTTTGATGTTATCCAATAATCTTAATTAAATCGGAATCCAGCAAATCAACAAATTAAGTACCGGTACAGTTTTCATATAACGTGAGTTAGAAAAAAATGTTCAAAATTCACATAAAACAGCAATAAATCTGGTATTAATTTTTACATTAAATCAAGGCAACCTAAAAACGTGAATTTCAGGGTGAAGGCGTTTGCCCCAAAAGTTCCAAAGGAAAAGAGTGCTTAATTAGAATTGCCTAATTTAGTGAATAAAACCACGTTTGAAAAAAAAGTATGAGTAGTAGGGAGTATGTTTTATCTATGGCAGTAGAGCTTAAGTCCGTAATATAATAACCCATACTTCTTTAATTAATGGAAACATCAACTATCAACTCATGAGTAGTAAAATAGGACTAGACCACAAAATATTACAGGGATTCCTTTTCCCTTCCGTCTTATACATGAGGGAGTCTTGTGCTTTAGAGCTTCCTGTGGGCAAAGTCCCGAGCCCGAGTCACAAATGGCGACGGGTGGGATTATTTAAGCAGGAAACCCACTGGTCCGACCCTCTCCGACACGACGCCTTCCGTCAAGTCTCCGACACCTTCAGACAAAATTACTTTGCATGACTTTAAATGGGCTGTAACCCACTTGTCAGACACGACACCTTCCGATCCGACACGTCACGACAACATTGCTCTCTGGGGCATTCTTGTCGGATGTCGGATCCGTCATTTCTCAACTATGCGTGCACCAGGCCTAGATTTAGTCACTGTCTAGCTTTGTGTGTAATGATTTTGTACAATTATTGGTTACGGAGAAAATTACCAAAAAAATGTTATTTTAAAATTCCCATGTTGTTCTTGTGGAGAATGTAAAATATTGTAGTTTGCTTTCTGATGGATATATTTTTGATCAAACTTGGTAAATTAATTTATTTTATACTAAGTTATTATTTTTTACTAAACTCACTCTTTTTTACCCTCCCTGTCAAAAGCAAGCCTAGGTACTCATAAAACCTAATATTAATTAAATAGGTACATTTTTTCAATTCAGGCAAATATAAATTCTCTTTGACAGCAGAATTGCTGCGGTGGGGGTATTATTGTTCATGTTTTGTATTGTACTTATTGCTAATATCCCTGTAGTAAAGTAATTAATTGTAACCGGAATGATCAAGGTGGGTCTAGGAAGGTCCTTGACCATTTTAATCTCACATACTAACAGAGATCGTCATAACTGTTATGGACTTTTTTATTATTTGCTCTTGTCTCCCTATCTACTGCTTGTGAACAGTATGTGATCACATGTTCCATGGCAACTGGCACTGTTGGAGTGGTGGTGTATTTCTCGTCGGAGGCCTACTGTCGGAGCCCGTCGGACCAATGGGCTTAAAATTGCAGAAGGCGTTGGAAGGTGTCGGAGATTTGACGGAAGGTGTCGTGTCGGAGAGCGTCGGACTATAGTTCGGCCGCTTAGAAAGCGACCTCCTCCAGCATTGGTTTAGCATTAGCGCGCAGGTCGTTTTCTAAGCGGCCGAACTATAGTGGGTTTCCTGCAGGAACGGTTCCACCCAATCTGTTTTCCACAGGGCGACATTTAACGCAAATGTAACAGTTGCAGTTGAAAAAAAGTAGGATTTATTACTGCGGCGAGACGGTCGTATCCAGAAGCTGACGTGCACGAGCCGGAGTGGAGTGGAATCGAGCGAGTGCAGGCAGAACAGCAACAACAACAACACAACAGAACAGTGTCTGTCTCTGTCTCTTGCATGGTTCTGTCGGTTCGCGGGTTCTGTGTTGTCGTTCGTTTGTTTGTTGGGGCAAAAAAAAAATGTAGCCGAGACCCGAGACTTGCCGAAGTGTAGTGTAGTGGTCTGGCCGTAGTCGTCGTAGTCTGTGTTGTTGTTGTTGGGTGAATATGGTGCGGCATAGTGATCTGTGATCTGTGATCTGTGTAGGCCTACAGTTTATTTATATATTTGAATTGCTAGTGTTTGTCACAAATAGTTCTAAGAAAAGTAGCCTAAGCCTAATGGCTAACCATTATGATATCCCGAACTGGTAAGTTAAGGTTAAACTTATGCCTATTTAACTTATTTAAGGGACTTACAGTAACATATTTGTATTGTTATCAAATAAAATATAATTAATGTTATGTTCATCAAGCAATGGATTAAAAATAACTTTGCCGACACTTTGTCCAAACAGAATCAAAACAAATTGTAATACAATTGTTTATTCACAGGGCTGGGAAACCACCAGTTGGTCTCCATTTGGATGTGATGAAGGGAGACAAACTAATACAGGTAGGCCCTAACGTGTGCTCTTTTTACCTAACGGATTTGCTAACTCCTAATCCAGCCAACCTTCCTTCCCAATTTTAAACTTAGTAGGACTTGCAGTAGGCCTCTACAGTAATAGCTGTAGGGGTTTTTTATTTACACTTTTTTACACTTTTACTCATCATATACACTTTAGCAAAACGCAAAGTTAACAATTTATTTCTAAATGTGAAATCAATTTTTACAGGATAACTTGGATACGATATAAGTTTTTATAAAGCCTATTACAATGAAAAACACGTACGTAGGTAGATGACAAGAGAGGAATAACCCAGTTAAAAATTAACTCTCCTAGTTTTGATCTGCTCTAGGAGGGGAGAGTGATCAGGGGAAGAAGGGAGGGGGAAGTTTCTTGTTGTGACAAGTGGCGCTGCGGGGCTGCACACTTATCTCGAGCATGAGTCAAGTCATGAAATTAAACCCACAGGCGCCGCGCTGTACGCTGCCGAGCGTCAGCTCACTACAAATCGAAACTGCAAATCAATGCCTTGATTCCTTGAGTTGAAGTGCTGTACAAGTATTCTAGTGCTGTTAAGCAGAATAAATGCCTTTGGTGTGGTGCTTTGGATACTTGAACTCTGATCGGAAAAAAAAAAAAAACTAAATTAAGTTGTTCACTTGTCAGTAAAGTTGTTTCCAATTTTGTCTTCTGAAAAAAAATTGTGTCCAGTTGGCGCCATATGCGACTGCTTAGTTTGCGTATGGGTTAAACCGGCCCTGTTCAGTTGCGATACAGGGAAAATTTTTTGTTGCATTCAAGTTCATCCTGACAACCAGAAGTATCAGTGGTGTGTTGGTAGCCTAGTGGCTAGCGTCTCGGACTTCTGTGCGGGAGGGACGGGTTCAATTCCCGGCACATCCACTAAACATTTAATCTCTCGTGACCTCTTTTGTGAAATGCCTCTGGCGAGGAAAAAAATTGTGGTTTCCATGCCATCTGGACGTTACATTAACTTGCTGACGACAAAGGAGGTTCTTTCCCAGCAGCAGTTAAAGTTTTACAGGATCATACCTGATTCGATGACGTCATCTGTGGAGCTCTTACACTCAGCGAAGCAAAAAGAACTACAAGATGAGCAGTTTGAACTTCTCGCACGTACGGTGGTTTCGAGTAAAAAAAAATGGACATTGAATTACCCAGAACTACTCCAAGATTTGCCTCAGGATCATCAATAAACACCAGTCTTCTTGGAAGCCGCCAAATACCCTCAATTCTCCATTCTTGGACTACATTTGTCACCCATTTCAGATAAAACTTTGCTTTTCTTACAACTTAAGTCTCCCTGAAAATTGTAGTTATTATTACTATGTTAACTGGTTTCTCTTCTCTTTGAAGAACCTTTAAATAGTATTAATATCATATTGGTGGATCTTTTGTGGTAAACATTTCCGCGATTTCATCAGTGTAATTCAGATTAGATCTATGCTTTTTTGAGGAAAAATATCTGTTTGTTGAGACGGTACGTTCTTGCTTCAAAGGGAGTTCCACCCTCAAGCTGTGTAGTTTCTATTTTTTTCTTTGTCTCATCGGTCATCATACTGTACTTCTGTGCCAATGAATAACCAGTGGTGGGAAGTAGCGCGCTACTTTTTTTGCAGTGTTTTCAGATTTTGTAACTTTAGCTATAGCGAGCTACAATTTTTAAGTAGTTGTAGCGGAATTTTAGCTACTTTTCTTGCTACATTTACATTGGTTAAGATAGTGATTTTTATCAAAACGTTATGTGATACAACCTCTTTCAGACTGATATTTTCAAGAAAAGTAGGCCCAACTACTTTATTGGCTTCATACAGCTGGTCGCAACAGTTTTGTTTTATTAGCTACTACAGCGTTGCATGGACATAGAGGCCCTAAGGTAAGGTGGTTAGGGGGGGATAAGGGCTGTTTCTGGCCTTATCTGGCTGTGTGTAATCCACATGTTTGGCTCTCATTTCATTCATTTGCCAATCTATGGTTACTGGTCAGATAAAATAAAAATCACTAGACACAGACGGCTGACGACGGCGACAAGAGATAGCTATTGAAAGCTTGTAAGTGATTGACAGGGAAATTAGTAATCAATTTAGTCTCTTTATTTTATCAATAGTTTCAACTTGGGTTTTAAGGGAAACACAAAACCTTAAAACAATGAGAAAACTGGCCTATCAACCTTTGCTTCAGCTGTTGATTGTGATTCATCATCACACGCCCTTCCTTTGTTGAATTAAGAAGATTTTAAATGTTTACTAATGTAAACAAAGAGGGAATTACCTTGATGAAATTGAAGACATGCCTAGACTACATAGTAATATAAGTATAACCAAAACATCTCCAAATAACATAAAACATGCATTGAAAAAATAGCCTAGTTTGCTCCTGCTAACAGCAGCGAGTCGAGCCTAGGACTAATTCCTAGGCTATGCTATTGGATTAAGACTAATAGTAGGCCTACCTACTAAGTTTAATTAATAGGAATATATCTGTTAAGCACGGGTCACACTAGGCTGGCATCAGCGGCGAATTGAAAGAAGCCGCGACTGTCAGCTTAATGTGACCAAAAAATTTGCAGCTGACACTGAGCTGACTCAGCCTGGATTGGTGAGCCGGCGATGCTGGTGCCAGCTGCTGATCACCAGCGGCTGGCGAACAGCCTAGTGTGACCCGTGCTTTAGTGCTTGTAAAAACACGCCTACTTAAGCCCGCTTGTTACATAGCCAAGTAGGCCTACATTTTATTTTTACTTCACAATTTTCAACATGTTTAAATTTAAAATATGATTTCAGGATAAGTTGCTAAATACTGTTTTCTGTACCAAAGTTTGTTGAAGCACAATTTGCCCTATCTATAATGACAAAGGACGATTTCTTGACATTGTATTGTGTTATTCATAAAACAAGTAACTTATCTCTATGGTTAAAAGTTATAGCAATGTCGTTTTTAATATCAAATAAAGAAAGGTAATAAAATCCATTTCTGTAGTCTAGCTCTGTGACACTGAGTATTTTTTTAAATAACCTTTTACAGTTTTATTGTCTTTTATAGTTGGTACAAGACAATAAATTAATGTGCATTATATATACATACATATTTTAAAGCTGACCCTCTAGTTTTTAACCGACTTCCCCACTACCAACAAAAGGAGGAGGTTCTCAATTTGTTTGTGGCGATGTTTTTTTTTTTTCTATGTATGTTCACCAATTTCTCTGTGATTCTTTTACCGATCAGTGTGGTTCCACCACCAAAATAACCAGGAGAGTTTCTATTTGGTACCTTATATATTATGTTTAAGTATAATACTTGTTTCGGTGAAAAATTCTGAAAACCTTAAATATTCAACATTTATTTTGTTTACATTTGTGCAGATTGTTTACATTTTTAGAAGGCAATAAATAATAATGACATTCCTACAGCTGTTAGTTGAAACCATCTAAATGAAGCTACAGACAATTCTTCATGAAACAGTTGCTTCATATTGATCAATAAACTATTTCTTGCCATGGAGCCTAAATGAATTACATTGAGAAAAATGCATTTTGTTTTGGTTACTATAAAAAATGTATTTTAACGTTTGACCTGATTTGTGTATACAGTAATTCTGTTTTTATTAGTATTGAATATTCTGACTTACAAAAACATATATATTTCAGTGAATAGCTGTATGATATTGATAAATAAAGGTGTATTGTGAAAACCAAAGCATTCGTAAAACAGGTCTAAATATAAATTAAATGCAATTATTCCTTACACGACCTAAGAAGTGTGACAGTGCATAATTGTCAAATGTCTTAAAAGTGTTAAATATTTTAATTACTAAACATGCATTTTCAGATGTGGAATGTTTATTGATATTCTCTACCTAGTTACTATATCATATAAATACTATTATGCCTGCTTCGGAAAGTCCTAGAGGAAGATGATTTGCAATTTCGACTAGGCTATATCTTGATCAAACAAAACCACCTACATGGCTTGTACCACTTTTAGCTGAACCAATCTGTTATATAATATTTTCCAAATGTACTATACGTGTTAACGGCCAATTTTTCACTTTTGAGAGATTTTTTAGTGCTGGTGGCTGAGGAATAACTTTCATATTGTTCCAAAAGGCTTGAGACGTTACTGTATTTCTTTTTATAATGTAGAAGTACACCGATTGCAGGAAACGATGATGTCTGACATTTCAATTTATCTAGAAAAGACAATTAGTTTTTCATTAGGCCTAATGTAATGGACAACTCTTTCTTTCTTAAGGAATATCTAAAAATGTTTATTTTCATACCCATTGATTATGTAACCTGAACAGGTGACTCAAGCAGTTTTAAAATAATTATTGTTCTGTGGGACTTTTGATTGTTTCAACCAGTTTTGCTTATCAAAAAACCTCAAGTAATTAAATTAATACATAAAAAATTATACAGTCACTAAAAATCATGAAATAATTTATTTTTGTAAAAAAATAGAACCGACTTCAAACGCTCTAAAAAGAATGAAATAATTTTAATAAAGTAAACTTTTGTATTAGGCAAGCTCAAGTATTTCAAGTCGGCGCGGCTCAAACTGTAAATATGATTGAAATTAAATATTGTGTGTGTATTTTGAAAATCAATAAATTGTAGCTGGATAACATAAATATATAAATAACATACTGAACTGTTTTGTTTATATATTAAAGGAAATATTTTCTTGTATTTTATGTTTACTTCAGAATAAATGCATTATGAAAATAACACACACAAATGTTCTATATGAATAGGAAAATAATTTAGTTTGATATTATGATAGGGAAAGAAAGCTAGTTTAGTATTAAAACGTTACTTTCCCAAGTTAGAAACATTTAAATGCGTTATAATCTTTTTAAAGATACTCGTTAATACCACTATAATGCCGATCTCTGATTACGGTAATAAAATAACACTTAACGCATAACTATGAAAAAGACATGCAGATTAACACCTTTAGTTATAGATAGTCACCTGCAATATGGACACCCTCTTTCAATTTTGTATAAAAAATCATTATAGAGCCGCGCCGACTTAAAATACGTGAGCTTGACTAATACAAAAGTTTACTTTATTAAAATTATTTCATTCTTTTTAGAGCGTTTGAAGTCGGTTCTATTTTTTTACAAAAATAAATTATATCAACTACTTTCCCTAAACCACAGAAGACAAACGTTTGTAGCTAAACTGGAACAAAAAGAAGCAAACTCAAAACCTTCGAAACTGACAGCTGTAACTCCTGGTCATATTGCCGACTCTTCTTCGACATCTGTTCCTGACCCAATAAAGACCTCACCTCTTATTGAAAATTTACCTCAAGACTTCACCCAAAGCTTACGCTGCCATTTGAACCAAGAATACTTGAAGACCCCTCAACAGGGATGTTTCAAATGGAACCTCAAGAAAGAAAACCTCAATGTATAGACCCTGTTTTTCTCCAACACACCAGCTCCTCAAATTTACAGACTAGCTGATCCTCATTCAAGAACACTAGTCAAAGTGTTTTCATACCATTTAAACTGTGTTCTTTAAACAATTTTACACCCCCCCCCCCCCCTCTGTTCAATTGTCTTATTGTGTAATTTTTTTCAATTCCTCTATTTTGTTAAACCCTGTTGTTTCAAAAACTTCTTTCTATAAAAATCCTCGATTTTTCCTCTTATAATATAATTTAATTTGTCAGCCACTTCTAGTTTTAGAATTTTTCATTTTAGACTTAATAACTATGATTCAAATAATGTAAAATACATTTTATCTGTTTGTTCTAGAAATTGATGCTGGACCAGAAGAAGTGCTATCTTTTCGGTAGGAATCCTCAGATGAATGACTTCTGCATTGATCACCAGAGCTGTTCAAGGGTTCATGCAGCGTTTGTTTACCATAAACATCTGCATCGGGCATTCCTTGTGGATCTAGGAAGCAGTAAGGACTCGTGTATTTTAATACCTTCTCTTATTACACATTTTTTTTACTGTATTCCCGGCTTTTTCTTGGCCTAATAAAGTAGCTTTGAGGCATGTGGCTTAAAAACTGAGCTTAATCTTTTCATTGAAGGATGAAAATCACCATTATTTACTTTATGAAAATTGCCGTACACCAGCATAACCACAAATGGTCTGATGTCTTTCTCCTGTCCAAGTAGAATATCTGGATAACACTCTAGACATGAGTTTTAAAATAAACAAGTACTTATATCGTGAGTCCCTGCGGCCTGTTCCATCCTCCCATTTCCTCCCTGTACTGAAGTCTTCAGACTTCTCCATATCTTATGAAATCAAACTTGGGATAGATTAGGTTTCCTAAGCATTATTTTGAGAGAAAACAAACATACAAACACTATACAGTTTATAAACATTAAAAAACGTCGGGTACAGCTTCTCAGAGACCTACGATATATTATCGGATGAAATATAAGTATTGAATTGATACTTATAGAATATAGTTATTAGAATATAGTTTTCTTGTGATTTAAATACTAGTTGTATGTTTTTCAATATGACTTTTTTACACTGCGCTGCGGCGGTTAGTTTAACTTAAGTGAGGCTTTGTAACATATATATAAAAACAAAAGTTATTATATTGTGTGATTTATTTAAAAGACAAATCTACAATAACGTCAATTTGAATTTTTAACTATCTTTTCCATGAGTTTCATAATCCAACCTGAACTACAGCAGCCCTCTGTAAAGTAGTGGCGGCGTTAATTTACTTTAAAATCGAATATTGCACACATATAGTGCAGAGCAAATCAACTCCCTGATGAACTATGAGAAACACTGGTTTTAAAATACATGAGTAGTTCTTGTAAAAAAACCTTTCTATAGCATTAAGTTGGCCTAAGCATAGAGTTGTAATTATTTATATATCTTTTTCATTAGGCCTAGTTGTAAAGCTGACTAGGCCTACTAAGTAAAAAAAGTACTAAAAGTTAAGAATTATTTCCTTTGAACTTGTTTTAAAAAACTAAGGGGCATTTATTTATTGATGTTAGCTCATGGTACTTACATTGGGTCATTGAGAATCGAGGCACAGAAGCCGACGCAGTTACCTATAGACAGTGTGTTCCACTTTGGTGCGTCGACACGCAACTACATACTGCGGGAGAGGCCCCAGACTGGAGCTCGTCCAATCATAGAAGAGCTGGAGAAGTCGTCAGAAGACGCAGAAGGTGGATTACTGGGACTGCCTGAGACTGAAACTGAGTTGGATGTAAGTGATACCACCCTTAGATGTACAGTAGTTGATACTGGTACGAAAAGCATCGTTATGGATGTTGATAGCTCAAGAACGAATTCATACATCTACTTGTAATGTTACAAAAAGATTCTTTTGCATGATATCTCGGGTTGGTTTGATGTTGTAAAGTATTTGTTCAATCTCAATTATTATCAATTATTGAGATGGGAACGCCACCTAGGTGCGTAATTTAACCAAAATAAGAGTGAAGGATGAGTGTAGAATGGAGTGAGATTATTTATGTGGCTCTGTTACTGACTAAGATCAGCTGTTTCATTTGTCAGCTGACCATTTATTAAAAGTCCAATGATCAAGGACAGCTGGGTCCAGTATCGAACCATCAAAAAGTTACTAACTTTTCTTAGGATCAAACCGTCGACCTTGTATACAGATGGGACTTAGTAAAAATATTATTTTGGTAAGCTAAGACTCTTGTTTGGTTGGTTCAGTTGCACAACTGTATTGCTGTGTCAATAAAATAAAAAAGTAATATGATACTCAATATTCTATAATTTTACTGTTTGACTAAGTTTCATAATAAATTAGTTATTAAATATATGGTTGTGGAGGAATACAATTTAATTTATTAATTTGCCTAAAAATTAATAAGCACTGTTGTCATATCATTCTTGATTCAAAACAGAATCTGACAGAATTCAACACAGCACACAATAGGAGAATATCAATGCTTGGAATTGGAGAGGATGGTGAAGCAGCTCCGAGAAATCGGAAAAGGAAAAAGCGAGGTGTTACATTTAATGAAGAAGAAGAAGTAATCAATCCTGAGGACGTGGACCCGTCTGTCGGGCGTTTTAGGAATCTCATACATACCACTGTCATACCAACCAAGGTAATAAACTAATTTACAACACATTCAAACGGTTTTGGGACATTTCTATTAAAAAGATTTACATAATGGGACTGTAACTATCCTTTGGGTATTGATACCTATGTATAACTTTGCTGTCGCAGGCGAGGGCGACAGATGATTTGACAACTGTGATACATTCAGTTTATGGGCCACCAAAATTTACTACTAAATCACACTGTTCTCTAAGTTATATAATGGTTGTACAAATTAAGTACAAAATATTAATAAATAATAGTATTACATTTTAGTGTTAGCATAGTCTAACCAACACAAGTAGACTTCCCATCACATTGTTAATTTTCAATATATACCTACGAATTTGAATGGATGGTATTTTTGGCCTCTGGGGATATCAAAACAAAAAGTAAATAGGTCCCGGTTCTATGACTTACCATGAGATATACGGTAATACCTCATTCCCATATGGGAAATTTGCTAAATACTTATACATTCAAAAAGTCAAAAGGTTTTTGCAGGTATTGTAGCCTACAGTAAACATTTCCTGACTAGCAATAGGCTCAGTTTCTTTGTTTTAAGTTCATTGTTGGTGATGGTGAGTTAATGTGGTTCAAAGGTTTATTGCGGACATTTTTCATCACGATGGTAAAAAAAAAAAAAAAAAAAAAAAAAATGCAAACTTGTCGGAATATTAAACGTTTCAAGCTGGCCTTGAAACAGAAATCTTATTTTTGTTTATTAATGTATTCTTATGTAAAGCAGTTTTAAAAATATCAACTACATGAAAATCAATTGTGTAGGCCTATCTACAGTTTCCTGTTTCCTAATGTATGTTTACAAGCTTATTGTTGCTGGTTGTTTTAGCGTCAAAGACTGGAAAGTGGAGTAGGCATCACCAGTGGACTGACACAACCGGAGGATCACAAGCCTCATGCCATGAAACACATGCATCCATCGTCCTTCATGAGTCAGTTGTATCACGACATGCCAGGTGAGTACAGCAGTGGGTAGTAAGATATTTTGAATGGTCTAATTGCTGTTTGTGATTTATAGCGGTGTGCAAGCCAGAGATTTTCAATTGAGTCAAGCTTTTGGTAAAAAAACTCAAACCTCAAGCTGTGTTTTAGCATGGTGAATATCTGATGATATTGTGATTATCTTCTGCAACCACAGTGACATCGTTAACATAACCCACAATCACAGAGAAATGTTGGATTTCTTGGAACAATTTTGTAGACGCTTTCTGCAATTGAATAAAAGCTTGGCTCAGCTAAATTTTTCTGATTTGGTGCACCATCACTCAAGCTTAAAGATAGATTAGGCTTGGCTAGAAATTTGAGCCACTCGCACACCTCAAATTTGAAGTGCTAATATTGCTTTATGCAAGTATGTAACCTTTGTTTTTCCTTTAAATAGATACCTAGATGAAAAAGTAATTTTTTAACTGTCAATGAATACAGGCGTGGCTCTATTTGGATTACCTGTCAGTTTAAGTAAAAACCTGGTAATTAAAAGAGCCCTCTCCTCTTATAACTTCTAAAAAGGTATAGAATAAATAATAGGCCTACTACAAACTAGCACAAACTTTGCTTAAAACTTTGAAACATTGATTGAAGTTGTTATGCAGAATAAGAAGAGTATACCTACATATTAAAAATAGTTGTTTAGCCTCCGGATTACTGTATTATACTTAAAATGGTTTACAATACCTGCATATAGTAATCCTTTGTTGCTGTTTTTGGCAACTAGTTTCGGTTCATTATTGAACCATCTTCATAATATTGCCCAGAAAGCAATATATATGGGCATATATATGCCCAGAAAGACAACAGCTCCCCAAACATCAAATTACGCAGAACATCTGGCATTACACAACCACAATTATTCAAACATCAATAGTAATATGGAAGTTTTACATTTTTCGCAGGACCGTTTAAACAGAAACACATTGGAGGAATTTGAAATATACAGAGCAGTTAAAGCTGACCATCAAAACGTTTTGAACGATAAACTCTTCTTTCAATCCAACTATATTTACAATACAGCTATTAGGATACTGGAGGGGAACAATGAATGAATGAACACGCACCGGTGATAAGAAGACAGAGACAACGTCATAGACCACTTTGACCGCTAGTCTAGACTTTACCTCAGCCCGGTCACGATCGATTGTCAATGTCCCTTCGTGTTTTTTGTAATGTGTGTCCGTTCCGTGTATCGTGTTTTGTATATGTCTTATTTATTGAACTCTGTTATTAACGACCTTCGAATGAAGTGATTATTTGACACCTTGAGGCCTGAAGATGGTTCAATAATGAACCGAAACTAGTTGCCAAAAACAGCAACAAAGGATTACTATATGCAGGTATTGTAAACCATTTTAAGTATAATACAGTAATCCGGAGGCTAAACAACTATTTTTAAAATGAAGTTGGAAGTTGAGCAAACAAAATTAGCCTATCAATACAAGGATGTCAAAATAAAACTTTATAAAACTACAGAGAACATTAAATTTAACAAAACATGCTTGAACAACAATCTCATCCCTAACTACGTAAGAGTCAAAGTAAATGCAAAAACAAGATCAGCATTAAGAGCTAAAAAACAGCAGAATGTCAATGGATTAAAAACGAAATCAAGGGATTATATTCTTAAAAAAGCAGATTAAATAAATTAATGTTCAAGAAACATTTAGAACTTTTATAGCTTACATGCCACACAACTAGATAACGTTATGCTAGAAATTGAGCAACAAGTTAGTAGAAAAATCTTAAAGAAAAAATCACTCAAAGTAAAAAAATAAAGAACTTAATGGAGATACAACATAAACAAGATATCATCAAATGCAATCATGTTTTTTATAAACGAGTTATCAACAACACAAAAATTGAATTCACTGATGAAGAAATTAATCTTTTGAACAAAGGTTTAAATTTTAACTTCCCAAATAACAAAAAATCAAGTATTTTTACAGAGCTTTTAAACACAGAGGCGTCAATAAAAAGTATAAAAACAGACGAAATACGTGAAAATGTCAGAGTTTTGATAGGGAATAAAGCAAAGAAAGCGTGGAAAAACTTTTCAGGAACTAACAGAAACAACGGAAAATTTAGCTCCGTATGTATACGAGAGACATGCATTGAAAAGTGTCAGGAGTAAACTTGCAGAACACAACGCGCTGATAACGAAAGCAGATAAGGGCAACTCAATAGTGATATTGTACAAAGATGATTACGTTAACAAAGTGTCACAATTTTTTGCTAAAAACAACATCGAACTCTTAAATAAAGATCCAACTCTAGATAATTCAAAAGAAATAAATAAAGCTATCACTATGAGCAATCATTTGCTAACTAAACATGAAATTACGTATTTAAAAGTGACAAATCCACAAGCACCAATTCTGAGAGGTCTACCAAAAATACACAAACCTGATGTGCCAATCAGACCCTTAGTCAATTTTATGCCATCACCAGCTTATAAAATCGCAAAAAAGTTAGACAGAATAATCAGAAATGAAACTGTCCTGGAAAACAATCATAGTATTAAAAATAGCTTAGAGCTTGTCGAAAAATTGAAAACCAAAGTTATAAAAGGCAACCCTAAATTAGTATCATTTGTAGGGGTCTGCGGGTCCCCGATTTTTTCGGGTCGGGTCAGAGATTTGTTCGGGCCAAGATCGGGTCGGGCCAAAAAAAATTATTATTATTTTCAAAGTTATAATAAGTAATTTTCAAAGAAACACTCTTATATATATTATTACAGAGGAATTAAAATGTTAAAATTAGAATTAAATATTAAGTTTGCTCACGTTTAAGAACAAAGACACAACAGAGCAATTGCCTTACTGTCACTAGCCAGAGCCAGTCGTCTACTGACAAACCAAAAGCCGTGACTCAACAGTGCAAAGAAAACGAAGTCAAAAGAAAGACTATTTATCCAGAGGTCCCATTTTAATTATTTATTGTTTATTCCATACCTAGTTTAAAATATATTTTAGTATTTTATTTACATAATAAATTATAAACAAAAGAAATATCTGATATAGTGTACAGATCTGTATCTTGTTCTTTTATTTTCCTATTGTCCTTTTTGTCATTCAGTAACAAAACAAAACAACACTTCTGATCGTCTGGTTAGGCATTGTATGGTCACTATTTCATTTTTTTTTTAAAGTATCAAGTATCAGCAAGTCTACAAAGAGGTTAGGCCTAAATATTTTATAATTTTATTTTATGAAAGTTTTCATCAGTAAAATTATTTTTTTCTTAGGTTAGATAGAGTTTCAAAAAAGATATTTCTAAGATCCAATACAATATTTACAAGACACAAACTACCATGAATTAATTTCTTTATAAATTATCTATCATTTCAGCCTCTGGATTGCTTATATAATCAAATAAATAGTGAAGTCTTACCTTAACAATCCTTATTATTGTGGTCCGATATTAATTTCAAACCCGTAGGTTCATCATCAGTCGGAAGATTTAGGTAGACCAAATTTGTTATAAAATCCACCCGATGGGTTTCGTAGAAAAGTTGACATTTAACACGAAGACACACATTACAGTTGACATAAATAATATTCGTAGTTTAGGGATAAAAACCATGGTTTTATAAAACAGTGGGATAACCTCACTTCAGTCAGGGAACACGCTGCCGGCAGAACTGTCAAAATATAGTCAGATTGTGGGTTGAGGTTATGTTGACATTTTTTGACTACGGAATGAAAAAACATATGATGGATGTACCACAATAATAAGGATTGTTAAGGTAAGACTTCACTATTTATTTGATAAATTATCTGTAACAGTTTTATATTTTTGAATAAAGAAAATATATCTTTTTGTCTCTACTTCCTTGTTTCGTTACTTGCATTTTGTCAGCAATTGGAACAACCGGGTGGTGTAATAGGGGCGGGGGAGGGGGAGGGTCTATGACCTTGAGTGTCCCCGGGCCTGGCTCGGGTTGTGTAAGAGGGAAGGGGAGGGGAGGGGGAGGGTCTGTAACCTTGAGTGTCCCCGGGCCCGGCTGTGAGAGTGATTCATGGTTTTTTGTTTACATTCTACTACCCTTCCTTCCGAGAAAAAGACCCTACGGTTTCAAAAACATTGACTTACAGTATAAAAACATTGAGTTGTGTTGCTAATTAGGGCACTATAATGTCTCTGTTGTCTGCTTATGTTGCCAAATTAGCATTTAACTTTCTTTTCTCTTGATTTAATATAATTTTCTATATATTAAGAGTTCCTTTTGGGGTACCTAATAATTGTGATATTGTTTGACTTGAGTTTATGGATTTTTAATTCTTTTCATTTATTAGCTAAAATCAGTTGTTTTAGGATCTCTTGCAATACCTATAACTGTGCCTATAACTGTGTATCTATAACTGTGTACCTATGACATGATATGCAATTTTTACAGTCTTTACTATAACTATACCATAAACAATGTATGTGTGCTATTTTTACTGTTTTAGAGTTTTATAGTAAATTAGTTTACACAATATCTTTTCTTCAATGAGTTCTCCACTTGTCATGTTGCTTAGTCTATTACTATTTTAGGCCCTATAAAAAATAATTCCTATGTAAAGCTGTAGGCCGACTAATGCCAATAATAGATAATTCTTTATTTATGATGATGTAACTAATAATGCTATTGTAAGTGTAAGGTTTTTGTACTTAGGAGGTTAGGAGGCAGGGAATGAATGATTCATATTGCATGGTGGAAACATAGAATTTTTATTTTCTTCTTGCTTGCAGTCTTGAAGCCAGTCCACAGGCCCTAAACTTGTGATAAGGTTAATTGATTTGTTTATGATCCTTTTATATTAAGTTCCATTACAAACTTGTTGTAATATAGCTGTTTAGATATTTCAACAGTTATGAAAATGGGAAAGAATGGCTTGATAAAAAAAAAATATTTTCTTCTTTCTTGCAGTTGAGGCAACTTCTAAGCTGTAAATAAGTTATGAACATGAAATAATATACATAAATACATTTTTTCCCCATATGTTATTTTCAAGTAATATTAAAAACACAGATAGGAGTTAAAAAATTATAAAAAATCCGGTAATTATTAATTTTTGGCCCGACCCGATTTTGGCCCGAAACCCGAGGACCAAAATTATTGGCCCGACCCGACCCGACCCGAACCAAAAAAGTCTGACCCGCAGACCCCTAATCATATGATATTGTAAATTTGTGTACTAATGTACATGTGCAGGAAACTATATCCATCCTACATACGAATTTGCAAAGAAACTCCAAACTTTCCCCTAAAGCAATAGAAGAAATTATCAAATTGACAAAAATTGTGTTAAAACAAAATTATTTTAGGTTTGAAAATAATTTTTACATACAAAACGAAGGCTTGGCAATGGGGTCCCCACTCTCCAGTATATTAGCTGAAATATTCTTGAACCATATAGAGAACAACAATCTCTTTACAGACGCTAACCGTTACAGAGATAAGATTTTGTTCTATTACAGATATGTTGATGACACGATAATGCTATTTAACGGTAACAGCAGACAACTTTCTTTATTAAACAGTTATTTGTGCAAAATGCACAGGAATATTGAGTTCACGTTAGAGGAGGAAAAAAACCAAGTATTAAATTTTCTGGACCTTACAATTAAGAAACAAAACGATCATTTCGAATTTAAAATTTACAGGAAGCCTACTTGCACCGACCAGACCATAAATGCTGATTCACACCACCCACACTCTCAAAAAATCGCCGCCTACAACAGTTTTATCCATAGATTGTTATCAATACCGATGAATCAGAATGATTATGATGAAGAAATAAACATGATAAAATACATAGCAGTCGCAAATGGCTTTCACTCCAGTCTAGTGGACAAACTGATTTTCAAACATTTAAATAAACCACAAACTAAACCAACAGAAAAGAAAACGTATATTTCAGCAATTTATGGTTCACATAGCAGTAGCACATTTAAAAATATCATGGACAAAAATAAATTCACCGTATCGTTCAAGACTAACAATAAACTTGGATCTCTATTGAATGAAAAAACAGAAACTAATTCAACCATCTACGATAAGTCTGGAGTCTACAAAATAAATTGTAATGACTGCACGAAATATTACATTGGCCAGACTTCACGCTCGTTTAAGAAGAGGTTTAAGGAACATATGCCCAGAAAGACAACAGCTCCTCAAACATCAAATTACGCAGAACATCTGGTATTACACAACCACAATTATTCAAACATCAATAGTAATATGGAAGTTTTACATTTTTCGCAGGACCGTTTAAACAGAAACACATTGAAGGAATTTGAAATATACAGAGCATTTAAAGCTGACAATCAAAACGTTTTGAATGATAAACTCTCCTTTCAATCCAACTATATTTACAATACAGCTATTAGGATACTGGAGGGGAACAATGAATGAATGAACACGCACCGGTGATAAGAAGACAGAGACAACGTCATAGACCACTTTGACCGCTAGTCTAGACTTTACCTCAGCCCGGTCACGATCGATTGTCAATGTCCCTTCGTGTTTTTTGTAATGTGTGTCCGTTCCGTGTATCGTGTTTTGTATATGTCTTATTTATTGAACTCTGTTATTAACGACCTTCGAATGAAGTGATTATTTGACACCTTGAGGCCTGAAGATGGTTCAATAATGAACCGAAACTAGTTGCCAAAAACAGCAACAAAGGATTACTATATGCAGGTATTGTAAACCATTTTAAATACCTACATACTGTGCACAGTAGAAAAAAAATACTTTTTTGTTATTTAAATAAACCTATTTTGAGAAATCACCTTAAACACTAACGTAGCTAAATAGGGATTTTCTAACTAGTAAATCTCATGTTGGTAAGTTATTTATCACACAATATTTGCAGGTCCCGAGGGTCACACTCCCACCACTCCTACCTCTCTCATGTTCTCCCCCGCCCTGGCCTCAAGGCTAGGGCTGGCATTGCCTAACCCTGCCCCCGATGTGGAAATGGCCCCGCCTACCCCAGTTGCTCCTCCGCCTACGGAGCCTGCCCCCCTGGCTGAGCAGACTGCCCCATCTGGTGCTCCGGAGCCCAAGAAAAAGAAGTACGCCAAGGAAGCGTGGCCCGGCAAGAAACCTGGGCCAACCCTCCTGCTGTAAACTGTACAAGGTAGGTAGGAAGTTTAAAAAACCTTATTGATTTTGTTTTCCAAATGTTATACCTGTATTATAATCACTCAGGATATTTAATCCACATAGTCATTTGTTATAAAACTCATGTCTGACGCAGGGTGTCCACATTCTGGAAAGTCAGGGATAGTCATGGAAAGTCATGGAAAAAAATTTTGGTCATGGAAAGTCAGGGAAATAGTCAAGAAGTCATGGAAAGTCATGGAAATTTCCAATTATGGATGGATTTGAGGGGACCATTCAATGCTCTAGTCAGCTGTAACCCGGACTGTTGTAGGATTTTTCAGGATTTTTCAAAAATTTTCGACAATTCAATTTATTACAGTTGTATTATTTTATGAGTTTTCGGTTTGTTTTAGTTTATTGTTGTACCTATTGTACTCCATTGTTATCTGTTATTACATATTTCAGTATTTTCTGCAAAATAACATGTCCAGGCAGTATTATTTGTGTGTGTATGTTATATTATAATTTGCGTGTAAAGTTCGTGAGTCATGGAAATCAATGGTAAATGGTCATGGATAGTCATGGAAAGTCATGGAAATTAATGACAAATTTTTTGTGGACTCCCTGCTGACGTTTTAAGTCACAGTTTACATTTATTTAAGAGATGGATAGACATTTGCTGTTGTACAAGTTTTTTTTTATCCGTTTGCTATTATCTAAGGAACATGTCGACCTTAGTCACTAACAAGACTACAAGATCGCACCACTCATCTCCATTCATACTTGGCTTAAAATATCTACATTTGTATAGTTGCCATTTCATAAGAAAGTAAGAAAAGAAAGTATTAAAAAAAGTATTGCATTCTTTTAGTTATTCACTGAGTTCCCAACAGGCTGACTAATAGGCTTCTGCTATGAAAATATATTTAATCGTTACTGTCTTCGCAATCAGAGTGATACTGGCTGAGTGAGCTATGGCTGTTTCAGAGATCACTCCATCGTCGAGTGCTAAGTAGTACACTAAATCAAAGTCTTGTTTTTACATTTAACAGGAAATTTCTCAATTTGCATTGTGTATTACAGTGGTTAAATAAAAATTTGAATATGGGTGTTCCAGACCAACCGGCTTCTATAGTTCCTAGACATGTACATTTACAACAGCAAACACTTTGAATACCATTTTAATAAAACATTATAATACACTAATTTCACTACAGCTCTTTAACTAATAAAGATACCAAAAAACATTAAATGCAAAAATTGTAGCTAATTTTAAGGGCTACAATGTGGTTTGTAATGAAACCCATGTTGCCATTTGAAATTTTTGTGATAACAGCTTTTGAAACTTCAAAAAGTTAGAAAATTCGAAAATGCGTAGCATAAGTAAAAAGTTACTTAAAGGGTTGAAACCAGAGTTTTTTTTAAAGCTCATTTAGCAATTAAAGTGTTATGAAAATTTGAAACTCCCACAAAATTCCACCTCTTTGCAGTGAAATGTAGTTCAAAGGTCTATTTTTTGTACGTTTTTGAACATCCTGTATATTGATAAAAATAACTAAAACTTTTTCCACTAAAATACTCAGTCCTCAAATACCTTTAAAATAAGGTGTAACACAACCCCTTTATATTTGAAAATTTCCCAAAAAACCACCCTCACCTCCCAAAATCTGCCCCTTGGGGTCCTTTTTGGGATTAAAAATAATTTAGCTGAATTCCTTGGGGTCAAAATAGGGGGTTCCAGTTGTAATTAGGTTACTATTTGCTTTCATATTGGAGCTATAGAAGCCGGGCGGGTGGTCTGCGACACTCTGTATATAAAGACAGGTTGGACATTGCATTAAGCAAAAACGTTTAGTGCACAAGCACAGCTTAAAAACTGGTGACTGACTCGGTCTGCCACCCTCAAGAATCATACGGAGGTACTGTGAATTTATCACACTTGTCGAAATAACACTACTGGTACTGGTCGGAAAACAGCTGTATTTTGTTAGCCTTTGCATCCAAACTCAAATCAAAATGAGGTTTGCCATTATTAAAAAAATAACATAAATATATTGTGTTGCAGTGTCACATTCTACGGTTTGCTGCTTCTGGTCAAACGTTCTTTGCCTTCCAAGTACCTCCCAAGTTGTACATATTGTATTTTATAGAATAAGTGGAATAGTATGTAATTTTTTAACTGTGTATCTTCAGATGTTAATTGCCAGTTGAAAAACGTGCCTATGAGAAAAGTATATAACAAACTAGGCATTGTAAAATACATTGAATGTATCTCAGTATAAACATGTGAATGTTAAAATGTCTACTTAGAAAATAAGTAATATTATCTTTTTGACTGGAAAATATTAAGTTTTGTTTTTTTTAATCAAAGATGTGTTTAGAATATGTATGGCAATAAAGTTTAATAGAGCCTTTGACTAAGGAGAGAATTAGACATTCCAATCCCTTTAAAGCTGCTACCAGTTTTAGAATAAATAAATGGCATCAGCAAACTGACAAATACTTTCTCCAATTAGCTTGACAACATTATAACTAAACATCCTACTACATTTTTAGCCAAAAAGTTACAGGGTAAATCAGAGGGAGTTTCTATGGGTTTTATGGTGAAAATCATATAAATTCCACTAACTTTTAAACGGTTATCTTTTAGTGTTTTTAGGTTGTGACATTTGGTCCGAGGTCAAAAGGAATGTAACACACAAAATTTTTATCAAAACCGTTAGACTTATATATTTACAGACACCACTTCAAAAACCACTTTTTTGGGGGCAGGGGAAACTAGAACGGATATTTCTACCTAAAACCTTTTGACTATTATATTAGTACAACTAGACATTCCATCCCCATGTTAAATTGTAGCCAGATTTTTTTTATCAAAATTGTCGTAGTTGATGCGAGCCACATACAGATTGTGTTGATCTAAATAACTAAATTCTGTCAAATACTCAAAACATTTTTACCAAGTCAAACTTAGAGAATGACTTGTCCCATCAACCTGGTCAGCAACCAAAATAAAATAAGGTATAAAATAGAAATTTAGACACTTTAGTGCATTCTGTGACTGGCTCAAACAACTATGTTCTTTTTAACAAAATTCTTCCATATAGATGGGATGTCTACTTCAGTATCCAATAGTCAATGGTAAAAACTTAAACTCGTAAATTTAGACAAAAACTTTACTTTCTTCCTAAATCACACTATGTAAGTAGTGCAGAATAAGATATGTAATGAAACAAAAATTTACCATTAAATTTTATAGTCTTTAATGTTTTGCTAATTATATTTGTTTTGTATGTTGTCTTCAATGCTCAATTTCATTTTTTAGCGAATTTCCCTATAGCCAAGTAGCTATTACCATAGACTAAGCAACACAAGTAGACTCCTCATCCCATTGTAAATTTTGGAGCTTGTTTTTGTGTCTAGTTCATGTACGTCCACACTGATCGCTGGGCTAGACGAAATTTTGTTTCTATTATTTTGGGGTTATTTTCATGATTTGTGCTTTACTATTTGGTTATATAACTAGAAGACCAGTTATTGTTTATGATTATATCGTTTTATTTGGTAAAATGAGGTTTAAAATTACTGAAATAATAAGAAACAAATTGTCAAAAAAAAACTTCCTCTACAGTTAGACGTACAAAACTAACAATAAAATTGGCTTCAGCTGTTCCATAAGGATGACAAATCTAATAAGGGAATATATTTTATCCATGCATCCTATTACCGTATGTCGCACTGTAATATCTAGACCCGGGACCAATTTACTTTTTATGATGTCCCCAGAGGCTAAAAACACCATTCGTTCAAATTTTTATATATGTATCTTATCTTACTAATATTATAAATCTGAAAGTTTGTGTGTTGCTCAATCACGCAATAACTACTGGACGGATTGGGCTGAAATTTGGCATGATGATAGCTAACATTCCCGATTAACATATAGACCTATTCTTATCTCAAAAATCCTTTCGGGCTCCGCCCCAGTGGCTCTGTAGTTCCCCATGTTAACCTTATGAGTATTCATATTTAAAAGGAATTAAAGAATTAAGTCAGCTTTTTCAACTTTAAAAGTTGGTTCTATAATATGCAATAGCAATAAAAAGTTATAAGGTTTCTCAACAGGGTGCAGCACTATTATTATTTTGTTTTTGCTTATTATGACAACAGCTTATTTGAACGAAGCAGCAACAAAAAGCTGTGATACACAATGAGAGCTGTCAAAGGAGGATTGTTTACAGTTATGTTTATGTTTTTAATTTAATGAATAATTTGTGATATTGTGCGATTGTTTGATGATTTATTTTTTCCTATTGTTTAGGTGCAGTGGTTGAACATTATGGCTATGCTAGATGTGTTATACTATATTACACCGTAAATTTAAAGAACCAAATTTTATCAAACTATGTCCTCCCCCATTGCAAACGCAAAGCTTTCCATCCAAATCTTATAGCTACAAGAGTTATCGAACCTATTTTGACAAATGAATCCATACTTTCAAAACTTTGGGACAGGTATTAAGAGAAACTAAGCTCCACAGAACAACGTGAGAACGTTCTCATGAGGGACATACACCAGGGCTAGAGATAATACACTGTGACTGACAGATTACACGTTAAAATACGTTAACCAACTTTCAATGGTGTTGCTGCTTTAGCCTATTCAAAGCAGATTATGACAGTGCAATTGGTATTTCAGAGTTTGTGGGTAAAAAATGGAGCACATGAAATGGTTGATATCACCCCACTTTTCAGGATTCTCTACGGAGGAAATTTGTTTGATTAGGGGAAATTTGATTAAAGAGAAAATGAAAATTGCCATCCAAATCTTATAGCTACAAGAGTTATCGAACCTATTTTGACAAATGAATCCATACTTTCAAAACTTTGGGACAGGTATTAAGAGAAACTAAGCTCCACAGAACAACGTGAGAACGTTCTGATGAGGGACATACACCAGGGCTAGAGATAATACACTGTGACTGACAGATTACACGTTAAAATACGTTAACCAACTTTCAATGGTGTTGCTGCTTTAGCCTATTCAAAGCAGATTATGACCGTGCAATTGGTATTTCAGAGTTTGTGGGTAAAAAATGGAGCACATGAAATGGTTGATATCACCCCACTTTTCAGGATTCTCTACGGAGGAAATTTGTTTGATTAGGGGATGTCTCAAACCAAATAAATAAAATGACCCAACTCAAATTACTTTACACAGGTTATCAGGAAGGCAACAGTTTTCTTCAATTCTCAATGCTGGAAAAACGTTTTTGCAACATGTTAACTCGAATTGTAACAGATCATTTACCATTCATTAGAAGTTATCAGTTAAAACTGAGAGCAGAAATAATGTAGGTGAGCCTTGACGACGCAAATCGAGATATTTAAAATTAGTTTCTAACAAGTGTTTAAATAACTTTAAGATGTAACTAGAATTACTCAAATTTAAGCATAGCGTTTTCCTCGACGTTATGTTTACTACATACTATGCGGCTCATTGAGCCGCACGGGTTCTCTAGTATATATATATATATATATATATATGTCCATCAACGCGATAACTCGAATAATTTTTGTCCGATTTTGATGAAATTTGGGTTTAAGACGATATAAACTTAAATGAATATGCGAACCAGCATGATCGGACCATGGGAACGGGGTTTATGGGGGTAAAAAAATGGGTTTTCTCATTTTTTACCCTCAAAACACAAAATTTCCCAATTTCTTTCTAGACCTTTTTAAAGAGCTTAAAAACAAATAATTTAGTATATCAAAGTGTTCTGGTACGGTTATTGGTAACGGAGACAGTTCAGAAAATTTTAAATTCCCATGTTATTCTTATGGAGAATATTGTAAAATGTTCAAATTTGCTTGTTTATGGATATATTATGATCAAACTTGGCAAATTTATTAATTTTATACTTAGATATTAATATTTTACAAAAAAAATACACTTCATTAGTTACCTTTTAGCAGAAAACCTAGGTACTCATTAAACCTAATGTTTTTAATTAAAAATTAATCAAGACAAATGGAAATTCGCTTATCCGGCAGGTTTGCTGCGGCGGGGGTATTTAGTTTTTGAAGTCTAATCCAAATAGATCCAAACAAGAATGGGTGGTCACGGACTGGGGAAACCGGCAGTTGTGCATACATTTTTTGTACCAGTGAAAACCGAGAATAATGTGGGAAGTTTTAAACCTCACTGGGAAAACCTGATTTTTGTCCTCGATTATGGCGCAATCATGAACATCTTCTGCGGTTGTGGTAAATTTGTGAACAATATTGTGCAGTCACAACGAGATTCAGAACGTCTTTAAGAGTTATGGGGAAATTCATGAACATCGTATGCAGTTGTGGCAAAATTGGAAACTTCTTTTGGTTACGACAAAATTGTGAACATTTCCCGATGTTACAGAAAAATCGTAAACATCTACTGCAGTCACAGCAAGATCAAGAATATCTTGCTTGGTTAGTTGTAAATACCTTCTGCAGTCAAGGCGATGTCCTTGTCTCCCTCAATTGCAGCAAAATCTTATATTTTTGATCGTACATCATTGCAAACATTTTCCATGGTCGCAGAAAACAGCGCTCTGCTTGACTTGACTCCCCTAGCTTGGTCCTATAATAATTTTTGTCCCATACCAATCCTTTGGGCCAACTATTGACTTTCCCCGACCCCAAAATATTGGGGATCATCAGATTCTTTTAGTATAAGGTACACTTGGTGACTTAGAATCGTGACTGGAAAACCCTGGGTTTTGACATTTTTTCCTGGAGATCTGTGGCCATCCTGCAAGAGGGAGTCGCTATGCTGTATATTACAAAATTTAAATTCTCAGGTTGAGTTTGTGCCTCTACACAAAATAACCTTCTATGTATTCAGTATTTACACAGTTTTTAAGTTAAATTGTTAGTTATAAAATTTAGTCAACCAAAGCTATATTAAGTCATGACTGCCATCTTCTTGTTTTACAAGTACTTGGTTTATAACTTGGCAGTATTTCTGTGATTTTAGCGTCATACACTAAAGGTGGCCTAGGCCACTCTAGGCTAAAGTCATTAGGTTCCTCACAATTTTATTGTTAATGTTTTATTGCTTATCTCTAAGACCCGAGAGTGTTAATGAACCGATGGAATAGAAATGTTGTCATTAAAAATGTTAATACTCTGACTGAAAATGGGCCAAATTTTACATATCACTGATACCAGTGGATTTTGTTTGTATAGTGCACGCTGTTTTGTAATGCTAACTAAAGAAATAAAATATTAAAAATCTATTTAACTGTTAAATTTATACCCTTTTCTATTCAGTTGTTTTGTGGATTGTTTAGCTGAAAAATAAGCTTGTTCTTGTTATGCTAACTTAACTCATTGACGAGTGTTAGTATTGCAGCTCTTCACATTTGGTGGTAGCCGTACTGTCAACTCACTGGCACTAATGTAGTTTGTAGAATCTCACCCGCAAACGCTAGTGTCACACTCACTTTAGTGCCACTTGTTGCGGCCAACCGAAAGTGACATGTGGATGAGTCGACTAACGTGTTGCACTTACAGAGGTCAGGACAGGACAGAGGTTGTAATGAAATGAAATGAAATAATATTTTATTTCCCATTAATTATTTACAGACAAGTACATTGTATTTTTTTCTTTTCTTAAATATGAAACAGCAAAATATTACTAACTAGATAACAAAACAAAAATTATATACTGTAGAAATAAGTAAATAAAAGTGTTAAAAAAAAAATACATTCTATAAGAAAGGAAAAAGTCTACATAGGCAGGGCCTGTGCGTAGACTGAGTTGCGAAAAGATTAATTTAAATGGGAAGTAAAAAATATATAAGAAAAAAAAAATCGTATAATTTAAACCTTTTTTTTTTATTTGTCTTGCTTGAAGCTGAATTTTTAGTGTTCTGGAATAAATTGACGGTAAAAAAAAAATTCTTTGTGCAAACAGAGGTAGATCTGAGATTCCGGAATATGTGCAATCCATGATTGTGACAGCTGGTGGGTGGGCCCACCTTAATTGGTGTCCAGCTTGAGTGGAAGTTACAGCATTAGTGAGTAAAATTAGGATTGCACACATGAATGGATTGGTATGGTATGTATGAATGAGGAAGAAACAGATTGAAAATGGATATATTGTGTTGAAGTACAATTACCATAAATCAAAATAACCTAAAACAATTTCAATGATAAAAAAAACAACACATTTTGAGGAATAGTTATTTGTGTAACTAGTGTGTGAAGTGGCATTTTGCTGCACACAAGAGAAATGTTAACACACGAGCTGAGGGCGAGTGTGGAAAGTTTCTTGAGTGCAGTTACTATACAGTAAAGCATATAAAAATTAATCATTCAAACACTAAACAACACTTTTTTAGGTTAGGTTAAAGCCAAGCGTTGAACGAAATGGGAAACACTGGACCAGCTGATAGTAGTCGTAGTATCTTAAAAGTGTTACCAACCTATTTCCAAGCATACACGGTGCCTAATAAAAGCACACTGTTTGGTTAGAATACTGGAGTGCAGCAAAAAAAGAAAAAAGTAAGTAAATGCAGCAATTAGCAACTTTCTGTACTATAATCAGTGCAAGGAAGCCCACTTTGTTAGGTGACTGTAAGAAATAAAATTTTAGTTAAGATTATTGTTGTTAGGATTATTGTTGTCCATTGTTTTAAGTATT